ACAGAGGAGGGTTGTGTGTTTGGCTGGGTGGTTGGTTGTGAAGGTCGGTTGTAAATGTGTATGGGTTTGAAGCGGACTTTTGGGCTGTATTTGATTCTGAAAATGCTTTCCCGCTCAAGATGGATGGTCATGAAAAAGTATTTAAAGGCGTATTCACAACGTTGAATAGAAAGAGACTTGTAAAATGAGTAGTAAAATACTTTCAATGCAATATAATATCTAAGTATTATACGTGGAAATTCAAAGGGAAAGATGCGGTTTAGCGTGGATAATAAAGATAAAATACTTCTTACCCCCTCCTGACCAAATTCATCTCCGATCCTCAAAAGCGCGCTCGCGCACTCTCTCTCACTCTTTCCGCCCCCCTGAGCAGCTTTTGACTTTTGGCGGCGGCTCTGCTTCCTCCCGCTCTCCTCTCCTGGCTTCCTGCTCTCCTCTCCTGGCTTTCTACGCCTCCTGGCCTCCTACTCTCCTCTCCTGGCTTCCTACTCCCCTCTCCTGGCTTCCTACGCTCCTCTCCTGGCTTCCTACGCTCCTCTCCTGGCTTCCGACTCTCCTCTCCTGGCTGCCTGGCCACCTCTTTCTCTCCTGGCTTTCGAATATCCCCTTTGCGTTTGGGTGTTTGCCTTGCCTATGGCTGCCGCGCTCTAGCTCTGTATCGCTCAAACCGCGGGTTATTGCGGACACGGGCGGTGCGACGGTGCGGTGCATTTTGAATGAGCATCGGTCGGTTTCGGCTGGCCATCCTCAAGCCTGTCGTTGCTGCAGCTTCACGATCCGATCCTCATGGTTGTGTTTCCTTTGGTCATAGGTTTTTCTCCGAGGAGAGAGTGCCGCGGTCCCACGCCTGCTGGCGTGCGTGCACACCTTGTTGCTTCGTTCAGATCCTTGCACCATGCTGGGGTCCAGCCTCAGGCGGTTGCCTGGTGCCACCACACTCATTCTCCTCCTTCTCGTGCTCCACGCATTGCCCTCCCGGGGCGAGCCCCTGGCTCCGCACATTCGCCACTTTGAAGAGGTGGGTGCATCAACGATGTTCCCCTTTTTACACACTCGGACACTCTGCTCAATTTTCTTTTTTCTCACCAACCCTTGGGTTCCAGGTCGATTTAAACCTCGACGCTCTCCATGCTGAGCATGGGCGGGTGCGCCGCAGTGGTCGCCGTGATGCCACCCTACCGTTTTCTTTGGATGTCTTTGGTCTACACTTTGCTGCTGACCTGAAGCCGGATCATTCCATGATCTCTCCCCGTTTCGAGGTCAGGTCTTTCGCGCTTGGACCCTTCAAGTCATCGGCCCGTATCCCGCGCATCTTTCCTCACGCACGCCTTTCCCCCAACGACCCCTTCTTGTCCGCATGCATGGCTGGTCCGTCTTGTTTAGGTCCATGTTCATAATCAAGACCAGGCCTGGACTGAACCCTACAATTTTAACATCTTCTACTCGGGCAAACCCCATGGTGCGTGACTACCCACATCCACCCACCAGACCATCAAATGGTTGCAGGATCAGCGGGCCAACTTTTCTCCATTGCAACTCCCTCACAGTTGCCTTTGATCTTTATTCATTCGTCTTATCACCACTTTGATGCCTCTTATTTCGGTACAGGTATGCCGGGTAGCAGCGTTCATGTGACCATGTTCAACGGCACGCTGCATGGTCGTATTCATACCCGCACCGAGACGTACAACATTCATCCTGCCCAACGATATGGCCGCTCGGAACGATCCCACGTCGTCTACCGCAGCTCTGACGTGGCCTACAACATGAGTCATGACGTACGTTGCATCACAATTCCCGCGAGCCTGCGTTTAGGAGACTTATGCCAGCCTCTTGGGTCAACCCGGCATAGTTTTGTGGGACGCATTCTGAACACGATCCATATGCCCATGAGCACTTGGGCACAAGCGTGCTGCAAGCTGAGCAGCACATTCGCCAAACTGCTGGTTCTCGGTTTCGGTCAGTTTGGACCTCAGTCCCCTGCAGCCTCGTCCTTGGTCGGGGGGTTCTTTTTTTCAACTAGCACCTCATCATCGAGCGTTTTCGCCTCCTTGCCCTTGACCCGTAGCCGTACTGGCTACCAGGGGGATGCCACGAAACGCGTCTGTGAAATGGCACTTGTAGCCGACCATCGGTTTTACGCGACCCGTGGCCAAAGCAGCGTCCCGCAAACTACCACTGCTCTGCTCGAATGGTTGGACTACATTAACCGCATCTACAAGTTTACCGATTTTGTCGATGACATCGGCACCGGCATCCAACTCAACGTGGCCACGGTATCTATTCTCATGCCCAGTCCTGTCACATGACAATCTTCCTCTTCTCCGCACCTTGCTAGCGCACATTCTGATGCACCCCATCCACTCTCTCAATGATGGCAGATTATCATCTTCACATCATCGAGCGATGCTGGCAATCCGTTTAGTACGTCCACCACCAACCCCAACCTCTTCCTTGACCAGCTAAGCTCTGTCAGCTGGGGGGTACGTGCTGCTTCGCCGCCTTGCTCCCTGGCTTCGCGTGCAATCGTCGCCACTCACTATTGGCCTCCTTTGACAAATCAAAACCGCCATGCAATCCATTTGTCGCAGTCCTATTGCTTGGCGCATGCCTTCACCGCGCAGGACTTTGCTGAGGGTGTCTTGGGTCTGGCCCGCGTCGGCCAAATTTGCCAAACTCCGTATAGCAGTCCCAAAGCCACCACCACGGGCCAGTCCATTCTCAGTCTGAACACCGGCATCACAACCACTATCAACTATGGCAGCACCAACGAAGACCAATCGAAACTCGTCTTTGCTCACGAAGTGGGCCACAACTTTGGGGCCTCGGTAGGTTGTTCATACCGCCCCGACCTTGCGGGCTCAAGACCTCAGCTGCTGACACGCATTCTGCAAGTGGCAATTGAGGAGGGAGCTGGGCCGTCTGCTTTTTCGCGTGCTCATGCCACTGCCTCGTGCCTGGCCATCCCATCATCGCAGCATGATAATGCATGCTCTAGCTGGTGTAGCAGCAATCCCGGGCGTTGCGAAGCTGATGGTGCAACTGGTGAGGCAATGCGTGCTGGCTCTGTTCCGGATCTGCTGGATGAAAACAGTTAACAATGTCATTCTGCCATTTTGCATGCGACAGTGGCCGTGTCCGAGAACAACTATTTCATCATGTGGCCCTCCAGTGTCGATGGCAGCAAGTCCAACAACGATCAATTCTCTGACTGCTCCATCTCCTCAATGTCCTCGGTATGGCTTGCATGGCCTGCATCGGGTGGCAGCCATGTTAGAGAACAGGTGGCTCCATCGTCACATGCTTTGTGTCACGCTGGCTGCACATGTCCGGGTTTCGATAGCAAATCAACAGCAACAGCGATGCTTCGGGACAGTGCTTTACCAACCGCGCTGACGCCATCTGCGGCAATGGGATTGTTGAGCTCAACGAGGAGTGTGATTGTGGCTCGACGGATGAGGTGCGCACGTTCACCCCGCATGAGCCATTTCTTGCTTGATATCCGATGCGGCCTTCTATGCTTGGGCGCTTGCCATTCTCATGTCACTCCCTGTCTCAGGCAACCTGCACGGCGGCTGATAAGTGCTGCACGACAAATTGCACCCTTGCAGTTGGCGCCGAGTGCAGGTGAGCCACACTTTTGTTTCCAGCAGCAGAAAAAGAACACAGTCATGATTTGCCTCACTCATCGCCTTTGATGGCTCCAGTCCCGAGGCAGGCACCTGTTGCAACGATAACTGCGAGCTCACAGGCTACGATACAATTTCTGAGATGCTCACGGGTCGCGATAGCGTGCGTGCAATATCTTGCACGCTGCGAATTTGGTTGTTGTCGTGTTTGAAGGAGGGCATAAGCAGTTTTGTTGCTTCGGGCCTCGGCTCTTGGGTCAGGTTGCTTGAACAAAATCGTTGCACATTTTGCTCACCCAGCCTTCCTGAACATGTCTTGCGAGTAGAATCCTGCGACGCACCGGTGCTATACATACGCTGACGATGATTGCTACACGGACATTTATTGCTTGAAGGTGAGTACATTGCCCCTCCTATGTGCTTTCCATGGGCTGACTGGTCGACACGGATGTGTGACTCGCATTGCAGGTTCCCGAGCTGTTGGGTCGGTGCCCAACCAAGGATTATCCTTGCAACGACTACAACAATGCCACCCTCGAAGAGCTTGAAGGTTCGCTGCAATAGATCTAAGAACCATCTTCTGTCTTGGCGCTAGGCAACTGATTTGGCTGGCCGTCTTTGACGTTGGGGTATTGTATCCCTCTCTGTAGCTTGCGAGGCCACGCCAGGCTTTTCCTTCCCCTTTCACAAATCCCAAGGCTCTCTTTGCAACGACGATGCCAATGTGTGCACCATTCAGGGTTGCACTGGTACGGTCTCATCCTACCTGGGCTTGATCGTGCTCTGAGCACATTGGAGCTAGCTGCCGGCACATGCTTGTACGCTTGCTCAATCAATCCTTGGGCGTGCTTAGGTTCTCTTTGCTCGTTGTACACGACCACCGATCGGGATAACGGCGAGCTGCCATCAGGCTCTTTCACTCCCGTGCGTTGCCGTTTCCCTGGCTCCACGGCACGATGGGTGTCACGCCTAGCTTTTGAGAACGTCTCATGTTATCTTGTTTGGTTGTCATATTATTATGTGATTGAATTGCGCTTCCATTTGTAGGTTGAGGCGCAGACATGCGAGAGCACCGATAATCCCTGTGACGTAGCGTGCGAGTTTAAAAGCGGTACTTGTACTTCCACCTTTGCTTATGACTCCACGCCGCACGGCATGGCCTTGAATGTGGTACGTTGGCACGCTGGTCGTGCAAACGATTGCCGAGCAGAGCATTGAGATGCGCTTCGACATGGCGGTCACGTGGTGTGCGCTCATATTGACCACGGGTGTTGAATCTGATGTTGACAATCAAACGGCGCACACAACAGTCGGGCACGTATCGCGCAGCCGGCAAGGCGTGCGAAAACTTTACCGGGTTTTGTGATGGCAATGGCCAGTGCTACCAAGCTTCGGGTGCCAGCCCTTTGGATCTTCTTCTCAGCACTGGTGCCTTGGAATGGCTTCTTGATTACTGGTACGATTTTCATTGCTGGAAGTAAAAGTCGCTCTCTTTTTCTTACCCCGCCGTTTTCCTTTCCGGAACGTTTGCTCTTGACCACAGGTACATCACGTGGTCGGTGGCTGTGGGCCTGGTGCTCATGGCCTTTGGCATGCGCGCCTGCCAGCGCCGTCAGGTGCGAAGGGCTCTTCTGCATGGCAGCTCTGAGTTTTGGCCAGGATGAACGGCGATCACGCACGGGTCAATGACGGTGGACACTCTTCTGTTCGTTTGCAGGGTGGACGTATTATCATTAAGGAGCGATCTTCTTTCCAATTTTTGACCATGCGCAAGCGACGCGAATCAGCACCCAACGTGAGGCGCTGGCCATGGTGATGCTCTGCTGATACCATTTGCTTTTTTTATTCATGTTTTTCCTGAAATTCGGTATTACAGGCGGTGCGCCGCGATAAGAATAAGAACGTGGTGGTGGTTTTGCATCAACAGCAAGCAGCGTCGGGTGAAGGCGCCCCGAAGGAGGGCATGTATCGGCTGCGCGCGCTATTCCCCGATGCACCGTCCGAGGTGCTAGCCACGGTATGGGTCATTCCATTTTAGGTGCCATGATGAGCCTGATGGTACCAACGGTGTTGAACTGTATCTCATATTGGCTGCATTTTGCTTGCCAGGTTATGGCATGCTCACCTCACGAGGAGGCAGCAGTCTGGCGCCTTCTCGTCTTGGGTTACGAAATGCGCAAGTTGTCCGATTATAAATTTTTGGCCTACGCCGGTTAGTCGGCTCCATCCCAAGCTGACACGGAACAATTACACTGCGTGTCCGAACAAAGGTGCAGCTCACGAGCCCTTGGATCGCATCATGACTGCTGCAGGTCGGCAGTATCGGAAAGATTTGCGCAAGCATAACCTCGAGCGACGCAAACAGGCCAACGGTACTTACCTCCTGCTTGTGACAACGTTATTGAGACCGCGCAGAAGGGACACTGGTGATGGGGTCAAGCTTGACTTGCCTCAAACTTATCTGCGCGTACTTTTGCATGGGTGATAGAGGAGGCAGACCGGCGTGCGCAGGCGCATCGCGCTGCCGATGCCGTTAAGCAAAAGCAGCAGATGTCGGCTGCCGAACATCCGCGCCGTAGCCGCATGCCAGGCCGCCAGGGCCGAGGTCCAGGCCAGGATGCCGGGCGGCCCATGCGCAGTACAACAGCCATGCAATTTTGACGATAAATAAATTATTATTCTGCCTTGGCACAGGCATGGCCTTCCGATGCCCCGCCCAGTCGTAAATGAACCCCACGACCCAACGCATGCCGCACTGCCAAGTGCCTTTGCTGCCGTTGGAGTCGACCACTGTGTACCTGCAAAAAGTAAACACGTGCCACATGGCTGGCGTCCCAAACGAGACAATGTCTCACCCTTGATCGTACCAATCGAACCCGTCCCTGTATATGATTTTGCACCCCCCAAGATCAGCGACCATCCCAATCATGCGCCTGGGCATTGGTTCTCTTCATGCTTGTTAACTTGGCTTGCCGACTTTGTCCCCATTCGCATTCTCCCCGTGTTCCTGCCCTTCCCCGCGTCTTCGTGTCCTAGTGTCCTCGTGTCTGGCACAGGAGGAAAAAACCCTTTGACTCTTATTATGGAAGACAGTTTTGGTGTCCAACGCTTTTTTCTTTTTTTTCGAAGTTTCTCTCTCTCTCTCTCTCTCTCTCTCTTTTTCGCTTTTTTATTTTTTTATCTAGATTTGATTTCGTGTGTGATTTTTCTTTTGCGCATGAATGGTAGTGATGGCGGAGGCGGGGGAAGTGGCGGCGGGGCTGGTGGCTCGAACGGCCAATCGCTTGGAGGAATTGGCTGCATTGGCACGGGAAAATGGATTGTTGAGTCCACAGCATGAGAAACAGTTTGAAGCGGATCTCAGCAAATTGTACGTGCTAAAGTGCGGGCTGTTGAGATGTTTGAGCCCTCGCCAGCAGCTCCCGGTGCTCACCCCCCGAACCGCTGGGTCGCTTCATTGGACAGGCGCCGCGACGGAGTTGCGCCCTCAGTGCTGCTGCAGGTTCGTTTGGTGTTCTGGGCTTTCACTCCACAAGGATGCGGACCTTTGACGTGTGCGCCAACGCAACGGCTCATGACACGAATAGCTGGTGGCAGGCTTGACGTTCTTGCTGCAAGAGGAGAGCATCAGCCAAGATTGCCCGCCAAAGGCGCGCGAATTGTTACTGGGGATCCTTGAGCTGCTGCGCAGTCTGCCCAGCCAACTATTGGCAATTCAAGCTGATGGTAACAGACCAAACTCCACATTGCATGGCGACCTGCTGCACACCGACTTGGGCAATGTGCTGGCCTCGCCTCACCCGATCCCATGTGCCACCAGCCGACCTCGATGGGCAGCAGGGAACGTACGCCGCTTGGACACGCCGTGTGGGCCGTGAGCTAATAGACATGTTTATCTGGCGATGGACCGAGCTCGCGTATATGCTTGCGAAGAGTCGGGCGTTTGATGTGGTACGCTTTGCAGTCCCTCCTTTTTGCCACCCGCGTCGTTTGGTCATCTGCTGCTCAAATGGCTACCGACCGCCCTTAGCAACCCATCATCGGCTTGGCCGGTGCCTTGATTCTGACGCGTAGTGCAGCCAGCACTTATGTGACAAAGCAGGTTGGCACACTCGCCTGCCACTGCATTGCCACTGGTCAACACTCACGCTCTGACTTGCGTATGATGCCGCCTTGCGCAGACTGTAGCGGCGCTAAAGACCAAGGAACTGGTTGCGACAGGTGTGTCGATTGATGGCTAGATCTGCGATGGCCGCCCGAACAACTCACGCTTTGCACCGTGTGCGCTGGGGCACTGTCATTGAATAGGCATCTGGAGCAGCACGCACTTGCTTGCACTGCTGTATGGTGGCGAGTGCGCCGCTTTGGACGTGGCTCAGGACATCGATGAGCGTGCGGAGGCCGAACACCAACTCGATGCCATCCTGGCCCAGGCTGGTTTGCAGACTCGGGAGCGGTGCTGCCATGTCAATTGTACGGGCACAGCCTCTGATTTAAAAAAATGCATGGCGTGTGGTTTGGCGTGCTATTGCGGCCGGGATTGTCAGCGGGCTGCGTGGAAGGATCACAAGGCCGAATGCGGCCTTACGGTGGCTTTGCATCACCTGCGCTCGGCGATCGGTCGACGCCAAGCCGGTGCTCAGCTCGTGCAGCGATATCTCGATGTCGTGGACAGCGACATTCAATTTAAGGGATGGGATCGCCACGAGGCTCAACAACTTCTAACAACTGTGTTATTACCCCCTGAAGCCGCCGCGGCTGTGGCACCCTAGCCAACCCGTGCCGCAAGGCCATGCCCTCTCCCATGGCTGCCAGTGACAGACATGTAAATCGACTATTTGTTCTAATCTTTGTGCACCGATCAATTGCGTGCCGAGATCAAAAGAGGAAAAACAAATCGGTGGGCCCTACACCTTTCACTCCAAGCAAGCAAGAAAAGAGTATCGGTAGTCGAGCCCACCACAAAGCAACACGCGTCACTTGCAATCGTTCCAACAAAATCTACTCCACGACGTGTTTGTGACGACCACTTGAAGAAAAAGGCCGCACTTTGTGGTGAGGACAACAGACTCAGACTCCGCAGACCGCATTTTTACAAGAGGCGAGCCACACACGGGAGGCGTCAAAAGAACAAAGAGAGGGAAGAACACCTTTGGGGTGCCTGACGTGAGTGAAACAATGATTAGCACTCGGTCGAAACTTGAGAAATATTGCTGGGCAAATCATAGGAAAAGGCTTCCGGTAGGCCGTATTGCGCGCCTGTGTCCGTTTCCACCTGCAATGAAACGTTGGCCATGGCGGTTGCGTGCTGGCCAGCTCGCAAGACGATCATCGTGTCATTATAGGACTGAATCTCAAACGCTGCGACAGTGCCCAGCTGAAGAGACAAGAGCTCAGTGCCACCCGCCAACAAGTTTGAGCCCCGAATGGTGACGAAAGTACCTATGTTGTCACGCAAACCACCACCAAGCAGAATGAGTCAAGAGCGAGGGTTCTGATTCTGATAGCCGATACAGCACACTGAAGAACAGGCAGAAAAGGGGCAAGGCATCGATACCAACAATGGACGTCACCGGGGAAACAACCAATAACAACGAAAACCACAAGAATCACACGATACGCACCCCATTGGCCACTGGGCGGCTCGATGCTTGTGACAGCAGGGGGCGACGCATATGCGAAAGCGTTCTCCAAAATTACCATGGCCCCTTCAGCATTGTAAATCTCAACGCTTCCAGGTGTCATGCTGGCCGCCCCCGCGGTACCGGCACGCACGAGCACCGTAGTGTCGTTGGCAAAGACAATGTTGCTGGCCACGACACCATCCAGGAGAACTCGGTCCAGGGCAGCGGCACCACCCAAGAGTCCTGTGCCGATAATGGTCACAAAGGTTTGGCTCTGGCCGGTGGCAGGGCTGACGGCCACAATGTCTGGCGGTGCCAGGTAGGCAAACGCGTTTGCAGCAGTGGCCCACGCGCCATCAGCATTCTCGAGAACCACATCACCAATGCCCACATAGCCATCGGTGTGTGCGGCAACCCGAACGACCACCAACGTCTCGTTCTCGTACTCAATGCTATCAACAGTTTGATTGGCAAGCAGCACCCGCTGGATTGCGGTGGCACCATTCCGCAGAGAAATGCCGTGAATGGTGACCAACGTGCCGGCAACGCCATCCGCTGGCTCCACGGCCGTAACGACAGCCGGCTCAGCATAGGAAAATGAAACGGCGGCGGCCGTACTCTCAACGATCGCCCCGGTCGCAGCGAGAATGCTCACGTTGCCAGTTGGCGTGTCATTTGCAGCCGACAGCTGCGCCACAATGAGTGTATCGTTGAAAAAGACGACCTGCGCAGGCACGGCAGCCAAGCGCACGGCGGCAAGAGCCGCTGGGCCTGTGGCCCCGCCCTGCAGGCGGGTGCCAGCGATGGTCACCAAGGCGCCAACCTGCCCGCGTGCAGGGGACACACTTGCAATGTGCCCTGTGCTCAAGTACTCAAACACGGATTCTGATTCGACGTACGCACCACTCGCCATGGTCACACGAATGGGCACCAAAGGGGCTGCCGTGCCATTGTGCAGCTGGACAACTATCATCGAGTCGCTTGCACTCACCACGTCGGCGTCAATTCCACCCACGCTTGCCTGAACGGCAGTCGAGGCTGCCAGGAGATTTGAACCCATGATCGTGACGAGCGTACCAAGCTGGCCACGAATTGGAGAGATATCCGTGATGGTGGCCGGTGGCAATAGCTCAAAGGCGTTGATAGCGGTCGTCTGGGCACCCGTGTCGGCCTCCAGCACGACGTCAGCGCTACTTTGTGCGGAATAGGCCGCAGGAACCACCAACTCCACGAACGAGTCGTTGCTTGACACGACTGTCAGAGCAAGATCACCCACGGTCGCTGTGCTGATGAAGCCGCCGCCGCCGAGCAACCCTGTGCCCACGACAATCAGGCGGGTTCCAAGCTGGCCTTGCCCTGGCGCAACAGATGTGACCTCTGAGGGAGCTGCAAAGGTCCATGCTGCCACCTTTGTCGCAGAAGAGCCATGCTGAGCTACCACCTCAACATCACCGGCCATGGCACTAGCAGAGGCTGAGGCATTGGCCACCACCACCACGCGCGAGTTGGTCGAGGATACCACCCGCGCCGGAACGCCATCCAGGGTGACGACCGCCACACTGCTGCCCCCGGCCAACAGGTACTGGCCCTCAATGGTCACACGCGTGCCGATCTGACCCAACGCCGGGTGCACGCTCGCAATGCTGGCCGGGGCTTCGTACGTAAAGCCATCGGTCTCCAGTACCGTGGCACCCGTGTCCGCCATAATGAAGATGTCACCCTGCGTGCGCGTGGTCACGTTCAAGAAGGCCAGCTGCACCACGATTTCTGTCGCGTTGGCCCGCACCACTTGGCGCACCGCCTGCCCAACCACCGTGACGTTGACCGCAGCTGACCCCCCTCCCAGTAATGAGGTTCCGCGAATGGTGACAATCGTCCCGCCTTGACCCACGGCAGGTGTCACAGCGTTAACGTCGCTCACGGGCACATACTCAAAGCCATTTGCTCGAACAACCGTGGCTCCCGTCTCAAGACGAATGACCACGTCCCCTCGGCGAGGAAGGGTGGTGCCAAGTCCAGCTTCCAGACGCGCGTAGGTATTGTTAAGCGCAAGCACGCGAGCAGGGGTGCCAGCAAGCGTGACCTCGCGCGCTGCCGCGGCACCGGCCAACAAACCCGTGCCCCGAAGCTCGATAATGGTGCCACGCTGACCGCTGCTAGGTTCAATGGACTCAATCACGGGTGGGGAGAGGAATCGCCAGGCGTTGGCCTGCACAACATAACCACCCAGGTCCGCCTCAATGCGCACATCCACGACCCCGGCCGTGCCATTTGGCACTCGGATACTGACAAAACGGTCCGTCTCTGATAAAATTTCGGCCTCGTGCGTGCCCAGTAAGACACGCGTGACACGAGATCCATGGACGCGCAGTGCCGTGCCAAAGATCAGCGCTTGCGTGTTGAGCACACCTTCCTCGGGGCTGATGGCGACAATTTGCGGAGGCAAGCCAACCTCAAACGCAGCGGGCGCTTTGACCTCGCCCCCTTGAACTGTGCGCAAGAGCACGTCGCCGACCGCCGCCGTTGCACCGACAGGAATTCGCACCACAATGAGCGTACCGTTGAAGCTCTGCACCTCGGTGACCTGCCCCGCAAGAAGCACCTCAGCTGGGCTGGCTGCATCGGGGAGGAGGTTCGTGCCGGCAATCGTAACAATTGTGCCCTGTTGGCCAATGGCAGGCGTCACAACGTCGATGGCGCCAGGCACCACATAAGCCGTGCTTGAATGGTTGACCATAACATGTGCTCCCGTGTCTGCAAACAGTTCGAGTGTGGGCAAGTGATCATTGTCCGCCACGCCACCCAGGCCGGCCACAAAAACAAGCAGGGTAGCATTGGCGAGCAGGACCTCTCGCGCCTCGACACCGTTGAGGAAAACCGTCGTGGCATCGCTGCCTCCACCGAGAAGGTCAGTGCCTTGCACAGTCACGCGCGTTCCCAGCGTCACACTTGTTGGGGTCAGCGACTCCACTGCAGCGGGTGGCAGGACCACAAAGGCGTCCGCCTTACTCACGGTGGCGCCACCCACCGTCGTCAGGATGATAGGGCTGGCCAGGGCGTTCGGTGACGCTGTGACTGGTACACGAACCACAACTTCTTGTTCAGTAGCTGAAATTACAGTGGCTTCGGCCCCACCCAGGTCGGCACGCGCAATGCCAGCCGCGCCATTGAACAGGCCCGAGCCACTCAATGTAACAAGCGTCCCGGCGGCGCCCTCGGCAGGTACAACGGTCTCAATGATACCGCGCGGCACATAGGTCCACATTGGCGTGGCAGACGTGAATGCAGCACCCGTGTCGGCCTCAATGTGCACGGCTACGGGACTAGCGGCCAGCAGGGTGGCGTTATCTGCTTCACCCACGACCACTACGATCGACGTTTCATTAGCAGACTCAATGCTTGCCACCGTCACATTTCCCAAGCTGACACTTGCTGCCAGTGCGCCGCCACCCAACAAGTCGGAACCAGAGAGCGTCACCACAGTGCCACCCACGCCCCGGCTAGGGGATACAGACTGCAGCAACCCTGCCGCGGTGTACGCGAAAGATCCACCGGAAAACTCGGCTTGCGTATCCGCACGGATGAACACGGCACCAGACGGCGTTGCTTCACTGGGTATCGGTGCCTGCAGCTTGACCACAATCTCCGCATCCGAAGCACGCAAGACGATCGCAGCCACACCGGCGACTGACACAGCGGCGGCCGTCGAGCCATTGCCCAATAGCGAGCCGGTGATGGTAACGAGCGTTCCGAAGCGACCAGTGGCGGGGGAGATGGCGGAGATGCTCGAGGGGGTGAGGTACGTGAAAACGTCAGCAAGAACTGCGTCAGCACCCGCGTTGCTCACAAGAGCCAAGTTCACGGCGCCGGCGCCAGCGCTGGGAAGACGCAAGACGATGTGCGTGTCGTTTAGCACTGTCACAATTGGACCCACAAGGGGCACGAGGTCAATGGCACCCAGGTGAGCACTGATCAAACCCGTGCCTCCCAAAAAGAACCCACTGCCTCGAATCGTGACAAGCGTGCCAGCCACGCCTTGGGCGGGAGACACAACATCAATGCGAGGTGGCACTACCACATCAAAGGCCGACGACAACTCGACTGAAGCCCCCGAAGCAGCGTTGATTACGGCCGTAGCGGCACCTGCAGACATGCCCGACCCCAACCGCACATAGACGGCATCGTCTGTGGCGTTGACGAGGGTAGCAGCTACACCGCCAACCACGACCTGGGCCACCGTCGAGCCCAGAAGCAAACCTTCGCCGTGAACGGCCACAAGAGCTCCATCGTAGCCGCGGGCAGGGACCAGTGCATCAATGCGTCCGGGTGCCACATACTCGAAGGACCCGCCAGTTGTTGTGGCGCCGTCGATACCTGTCAAAACCACCGTGCCCGTCACAGCCAAAGCCGACATGCCAAGCTCCACCTGTACAAAGGTGGGTGTGGCGCTGAGAATGGCCGTGACCGGCACATTGGCCACGGTGGCATTGTAGAGCGAGCTTGCTCCCGACAAGAGGTCCACACCAGTGATGTTAACGACCGCACCTGCTTGACCGCGCGCCGGTTCCACCGAAGCAATGCTACCGGGTGTGACATAGGTAAATCCGTTGCTGCGGATCACGGTTGCTCCTGATTCGGCCTGGATCACAATGTCCCCCGTGTTGGCTGCCCCAGCAGCTGCAATCACCACCACGTGAGAACTGTTTTGAGCTTCGATGCGCTTGACGGGCACGCCGGCCAGCGTCACATTCTCAATGTGCCCACCATAGCCGTTGAGATTGGAGCCAGTCAAAACAACGCGCGTGTTTTCAGCACCCACGGCAGGCGTCACAGCGGAAATTTGGCCCGGCGTCTTGTAAAGGAAGGCCTCGGCACTCGATGCAACTGTCTGGCCGTTGGGAAGCTCAAAAACGATCTGCGAAGGTTCATCGGTCACCAAGCTGGCGGCAGCGAGCGCAAAGACGACACGAGTGTCGTTGGATGACATCAGCTCTGCAAGGCGACCATCGACCTTGACGGCGCTAACCGCCGAGTTGACGCTCCCACCCAACAGGCCGACGCCATTCACCGTAACACGCGTGCCATACATGCCTGAGTCAGGTGTAATGCTCTGCATCTGGCTGTACGTGAAGGCAAGGGGGCGCCGGATCTGGACGCCCGCCCGTGTGTTGATGACCACGTCGCCCGGTGCGCTGGTGACACCCGCACCCAGACTTCCGGCAGTAACGACGATTTCGGTGTCTGATGCACTGTCGATCGTCGCGGCGGTCACGCCAAAGAGCTGTACGCTGTTGATGCCGGTGGATCCTGCAAAGAGATTGCTACCTGTGATGGTGATCGAGGCACCCGCAGATCCCGCCTCGGGCTGCACGGCGGTGATCTCGCCAGCCGCGATGTACGAAAACATCGCGCCACGCGTGATGGCACCCGTGTCGGCGACCAGTTCAGCAGGTCCACTGGCATTGTATCCGGCATCTCCGGCAATCACAGTGACGGTCGTGCACGCTTCGTCCACACTCACCAACTGGGCGATCGTGCCAGCAAGTGAGACGCTCGACAAGTTGTCACCGTACCCGCAGAGGTTCGTGCCAAAGATCTGCACTTGTACACCGACCTGTCCGGTCGTTGGCGTCACAAACGAAGCCACACCGGGTGCCTTGTACTCAAAATCCTGGCCAGCCGTCTCGACGTGCGCACCACCATGCGCGACCAGACTGACCGCGCCTGTAATGGCTTGCGGCGGTCCTGGAGCGGCCCGCACAACTACGTACGTGGCGTTTGCCCCGGGAAGCACCGTGCCTGCGTACGTGCCCAGGTAGACGGCGGAAAGAGCGTTGTCGTGGCCCAAGAGGTTGGTCCCCGTAATAGTCACTCGGGTACCCTCCACGCCACTCGTGGGGTTGACGGCATTGATCACACCAGGAGCACCGTACTCCCAGCCATTGAGATACCTCAAGGTCGCACCCGTGTCGCTCTCAAGCACAACGTCGCCAGTTCCTGCACTACTGGCCCCTGCCACGACGACAACCTCAGTGTCGCTCTCTGATGTAATGTCGGCCAAGACGCCGTCAAGCTTTACCGCCACCACGGCCGTCCCAGCGCTGCGTAGCTTGGTACCCGTGATGGTAACGCGGGTGCCGGCATGACCCAAGCGCGGATGCACACCATCAATACTACTGTCGTTCGCCACAATCACGGCACTGGCAAGTTCGACGACGGCACCGCTATCCGCCAGCAACCGAACGTCGGCGCTGCCGCTGGGAGTGTTGGGGCCGACACGAACAAGAACGTGCGTCGAGTTGGCAGCTCCTGGTAATAGAGTGGCAGCGACACCACCAATCTCCACTGCCGTCAAACTGGCCGCGCCACCTAGTAGCCTAGATCCTGTAATGGTGACGCGGGTGTTGAAGTAGGCCACAGGCGGCACCACGTCGGTCACGACGCCTGTGGACAGGTATGTAAACTGGCCGACCAAGCGGGTGCGCGCTCCGTTGGCAGCCACGACCTCAACGTCGGCTGGTACGTCCACAACAGTCGTGGCCGTGGGCGCGGCCAGACGCACGATGATGTGGGAGGCATTGTATCCAGGCAAAACTTCAATGTTACTCGATGAGTTGGCCACGATGACGCGATCCAGCAGTGCCACGCCACCCACACCAAAGAAAGAGGAGCCGCTCAGGGTTACCAGCGTGCCCAGCTGGCCTTGCGCTGGGGTGATGGTCGTCAGCGTGGATGGCGTGTCGTACGCAAACGTCAGGGTCGAGGTCACGACGGCGCCGTCCGCGGTCTCGAGTTCAACAACACCAACATCGGCCACTTCGCTGCCCCCTAGAGCAACAACGATGGCAGTGTCCGAGGGTGTCCCAACGATCTCAGCCAGAACATCCGCCACCCGCACTGCGACCAGGGACGATCCAGCAAGAAGTTGGATGCCCTGAATGGTTACGCGTACGCCAAATTGGCCGTGGGCTGGTACCAGGGCCGTGATTTGTGGCGTCGCAACGTACTGGAAAGCGTCCCCATCCTTGGTGACCAGAGCACCCGAAGTCGCCAGCAGACGCACGTCACTGCGATTGGCAGGCACCGGCGTGCCGGCACCGGCGACCACCACCACCATTGAGCTGTTGGCCGAGACAATCTGCGTGGCGGCAATGCCGGCTAGGTGAACCACTTGTAGAGTCGCCGCCCCGCCCAGCAACGCTGTGCCGCGAATGGTCACCTGAGTACCCGCTGTCCCCGAGGCGGGTGCAATACTGGTTATAGAACCCGCGCTGACGACTTCAACGGGTATGGTCGAGACCACGCGAGCACCGCTAGCAGCCACCAACGTAAAATTGTGCGCCCCGGCCGGTACCTCGGCGGGCAGCGCAAAAGCCACCATACTGGCATTTGAAGTCAAGAAAGACGTAATATTGCTTGATGCCAACTGCAAGGCGCTCAAACCACCTCCACTCGAGCCCAAGAGACGCTCACCAAAAACGGTCACCCGCGTCCCGGCCTGCGCCGTGCCTGGTGTGATGACGGTGACAATGCCATCGGCCACTCCGGTCAAGAGGCCCTCGACAGTGATCGTCGCTCCTGACGTTCCTTCAAGGGTCACATTCAAGGCACCTGGGGTGCTGAGTGTGGGGCTGGTGCAACCAACGATGGTATCCGAGGCTGTAAGGATTTCACAAGCGTCGCCGCCCAGGCGAACAGCGGACAGTGCGGGCGCGCCCGCCAGGAGCCGCTGGCCCGTGATGGTGATGCGTGTGCCTTGTTGAGCGACAGCAGGATCAATGTTGTCCACACGGCCAGATTCCAGCCAGGTGAAGCGAGCAGCTTCAGCAAAGGTGCCATTATCGAGGGTCACCAGAGTCACCGGGGCCGCCACAGCATACCCTGAGGATGGCTCGGGGGCAGTGTGTGGCAGACGAACCACCACTTGCGTGTCACTTGCCACAACAATAGCGACATCAATGTCGTCAAAACGGACTGAAGCCAAAGCGGTGCTGCCGCCAAGCAAGCCCGTACCATTGATTGTCACCAGTGTGCCAGCTTGTCCGCTAGAGGGTGTGAGAGCCGTCAGCACAGGTTCAAGCACATAGGTGAACGCGTCCTCGAGCACAGCACGGGCCCCCGTATCTGCCACAAGCTCAACATGCTCGGTGCCAAAGGCGGCGGGTGCGGCGGCTTGCACGACGATTGAATCGTTATTTGCTGAAATGACAGTGGCCTGCACCTCGTTTAGAGTGACCTGGGCAATCGAGCTCCCACCACCCAAGAGACGCGCGCCGTTGAGGGTGATGAGCGCTCCACTCAAACCCTGAGCGGGCACTACGGAGACGATGACAGCCGCGTCGCGGTATGTATAACGATCCGCAAACGTGTTGACTGCACCGCCAGCCAAAGACAAGACCACGTCGAGCGGTACGCCGACCGTAATGGAGGCATTAATTTGCGGGGTCACAAACACGACTTTGCTCTGCGAGCTTGTTAAAATCGTGGCTTCGAGTGGGCCGACACGCAGGGACTCTATTGCTTCGGCACCGGCGAGGAGCTCAATTCCCGTGAGGGTCACACGCGTGCCCCACTGACCGACAGCAGGCACGGAGGCAGTCAAGACGGTGGGTGCCACGTAGGTGAAGCCACGCAGGCGCACCACCTGCGCTCCGTTGTTGGCAGTCAAGGCAACACTGCCCAGCAGCGCAACAGCGCTGTAGTTGGCCACCACCACGACAACGTTGTCTGAAGCGTTGATGATCTCACGAACAGGCACACCGGCCAGCGTGACGGCAGTCATGCTGTTTCCACCACCCAAGAGGTTGTCACCGGTGATGGTCACGCGCGTGAGCCCTTGGCCCCGAATGGGCACCACCTCTGTGATTTGGCCCGCTTCAATGTACTCAAAGCCGTCGGCAATGATGATGCGAGCCTCATTGTCTGCGTGTAGGGTCACGTTGACCAATCCTACCTGCAAGGAGGGCTGTGCTCGCAGCTGCACTGAAGTATTGCTCGCGGAAAGCACCACAGCCTGTGTCTCTCCCAAAAAAGCTTCGGCAATATCAGAGCCACCGGCCAAGAGGTGTTCGCCAGCAATGGTGATCAGAGTGCCACCAACACCGCGCGCCGGCACGATAGACGTGACATTGGGCACGGGCACGAACGTCCACCCGTTGGTGCGCACGGCCGTGGCTCCCGTGTCGGCCACGAGCATTACATCCACAACCTCGCCAGCAGGAGGGCCCAGCGGAGCCACAGCCTCGACAAAATAGTTGGATTGCCGTACGATCGCGGCGGGACGACCACCCAGACTTAGCTGGGTAATGCTTGTGCCGTGAGCAAACAAGTTCGTTCCGACCAGAACAAACGACGTGCCCTCAGCGCCAGAGTCAGGCAAAAGAGCGTCAATAGTTGCGGCTGGACGGTACTCAAAGCTGGCGAGAGCGACAATGCGGCCTCCCGTATTAGCACGCAATACGACATCGCCAGGCGAGCTGCTCGTAGCCGAAGAACCTGCTTGCACTACCACTTGCGTGCTGGTCACGGAGATGATGGCTTGAACCGGCACACCGTCCAAGGTCACGCTGTCTAGCGTTATCCCATCCGCCAAAAGACCTGTTCCGCTGATGGTGACGCGCGTGTCGCGTTGGCCAAACACCGGGTCTACACCGGTCACTGCGCCATTGGCCACAAAAGTAAAAGCCCCAGATTCTGAGAACTCAGCCCCGGTGTCAGCCACGATGGTTATGGTACCAGTGCTGTCCGCCACACCTTCACCGGCTTCAACCACGAGATAACTTGCGTTGCTACTCAAGATGCTTGCCACAGCCAGTCCCTCGAGACTTATGGTCGCAGCAACAGATCCGCCGCCCAAGAGCCCTTCACCGCGGATGGTCACAAGAGTGCCAGCCACACCCACGGCAGGCGACACGCTGATCAGAACGGGCACAACCAGCACTTCGAAGGCGCCAGCTAAGCTTACTTTGGCACCGGAATCAGCCACGACCTCAACCGCCTGCACACCGACAGGAGTGGCGTCATCAATGGTAACAATCACTTGCGTACTGTTTGCATGTGCGATGCTGCGTGCGGCTACGCCGCCCACAGTGACGCGGTCGACACTCGATCCAAGCGCCAAGCCTCGTCCGGAAATGGTAATACGTGTTCCGGGACGACCTACAGCCGGCTCCACCGAATCGATGGCACTGGCTGCAAGCTGGTCCCAAGCATCGGGGGCTGAGGCTACAGCTCCTGTGTTTGCATGGATAACGACGGCGCTGAGACCGTCTGGGGCCTCGTTGGCCTCGACAACGACCTGTGTGGCGTTGGCACCCAGCACGGCCAAGACCTCAACCCCAGCAAGCTGCACACTGGTGGCACTGGTGCCACCGCCAAGCAGGTTGGTGCCTCGAATGGTGACATGGGTGTGGCGAGTACCCGCTGCCGGGGACACGTTCGTTATGACAGGGGCAGGCAGAACGCTGAAGCCAATCGCGGACCGAACAAACGCGCCCTCGGCCGTTGTCAACACGAGGTCCAAGCCAGCTTGTGCTGCCACCGTTGAGTTGAGTGCAAAGACGAGATGTGTCTCGTTCTGACTGTGTAGAATCGTGGAAACGATGGAGCTCGCACGGGACCCATCTGATGACGCCAAAAGATTCGCTTGCGAGATGCTGCTGCCCATTCCTAAAGATGTGCCCGCCACAGTCACACGGGTGCCGAGGACGCCCACAAGTGGGGAGACGGCAGTGATGGCCGCGGGCGAGACGTAAGTCAGCAGCGACGCTGGTTGGGCTTCGACCACAGCACCCGTGTCGGCAACAAGCTGCACGCCCTGTGCATCTTCTGCTCCCGTGGATGCTTCCACCACCAGGGTGGTATCATTGGCAAAGTTGATGCTGGCCACCAAGGCTCCACCCAAGCGGGCACTCGCCACCAAAGATCCACCACCGAACAGGTCGGTACCGGTCAGTGTCACAAAAGTACCCGCGTGGATCGTGCTTGGCTGAACGGCGGTCACCTTGCCAGCAGTTAGCAATTCAAAGGTTGGGGTTCCTGTTACCTCGGCGCCCGTGTTACCGTGTAGCGTAATGGGTACGGCGCCCGCTGACACGTTGGCGGGCAGTTCGACGCGCACGAAAGTCGCATTTGCAGCCAAAATTGTAGCATCGAGACTGCCAAAAACTACACGATCAAGGGTGGTACTGTTGCCAAAGAGGTTGGCGCCGGTGATGACGACCTGCGTTCCAACTTGACCTTGCGCAGGTTCAAGATGAGTGTATGCACCGCGCTCCACATAGCTGAACTCGTGGGCGCCGCCCGCAACGGATGCACCCGATGCCGCAAAAAGCTCAAGCGCGGCGCTGGCCGGATCAGCATTTCCATCGGCGGCCACCACAACCACCTCCGTGTTGGAAGCGGAGACAATTTGCTCAACGGAAACGCCGGCAAGTTGGACGTCCACGATACTCGAGGCCATGAGCAACTGCGTGCCGGAAATTGTAACTCGCGTCCGAAACTGGCCGGTACTCGGTGAGCATCCAGTAACTGTCGGCAGGGCCGTGAGGGTCACCGAAGCACTCGAGACTACTATCGCACCTGTGTCTGCTTCAAGGCGCACAACGCCAGAGGCACTGGCAGAGCCAGCGGGCAGGCGCAGCTGAACGTGGGTGGTATTCTGCTGCACGATGGTCGCCGACACACCAGCCACAGTCGCGCTGACCAGCGATGCACCATAGCCTAAAAGCTGCGTGCCTTCCAAATTGACAAAGGCGCCAGCGGCCACTGTTGTGGGACTGACGTCAAGCACGACACCGGTGGGTCGATAGGTAAAAATGTCTGATGCCGTGTAGCTTTGGCCATTATCCAAGGTCACCACCACATCGCTGACCAGATCGTTTGAGTTGGTCAGTTCTGCTGCCACAACGACCAGGCGCGAAGCATTGGCTTCGCGAATCTCCGCCACATCAACGCCGGCGATTTCCACATCCACCACGTCTGACCCGCCGGCTAAGAGAGCTTGACCTATCAAAGTGATCACAGTGCCACGCTGACCAAAAGCTGGGCTAGCTGCAGTGATGGCCGTGTACGTAAAGCCATCCAAGAGAACCGTTCGCACACCACTGTCCGACACCGTTTCGACGTCGCCTGTGCCTGTACCAACGCCGTTGCCCGCGGTGACCACGAGCCACGTGCCATCGGCGGAAAAGTTTTGTAGGGTTGCAGCCACACCGCCGAGGAAAACTTGGGAATAGGTCGAGCCACCAGCCAGCAGCGAGACGCCACGAAGCGTAACGCGATCGCCCGCAGTACCAGCGGCTGGGATCACGCTGATAATGGCGCCGTCCACAACGTAAGTGAAACCGTTGGGGAGCACGGCACGAGCTCCGTTGGACGCCGTCACAACAATGTCGCCCGTAACATTGCTGTCCAGGTTCCCGGCAGCAACACGCACTTGGCCGCACCCCGCTGGTGCGCCCTGAAACACAGCGGGGATACCAACAAGAGTCACGTTGGTAATGACAGCGTTGGGTGCGCCGCGGCATAAGCCTTGCACGGACACGGAGACTAGCGTGCCTTCACGGCCACTATCCGGCAGCACAGTCACAATGGGGTGCTCGCGGTAGGTGAAGAGATTGAGACCCGAAATCAGAGCCCCAGTATTGGCCACGATGACGACATCACCCAGCGTATCCGCATCTGGACCAAGCCCAAGCGCCGCTTCGATCGCTGTCTCGTTGGCGTACAGGACCGTTGCCGCTACCCCGCCAAACTCCAACGAGACCACTCTGGTTCCACCACCAAGTAAATTTGTACCAATCACGATGATGCGCGCACCCTCAACGCCCTGGGCGGGCGAGAGTGACGTGACACTCCCGCGCTCCAGAATCTCAAAGGCGTTGACAAGCTGAGCAAAAGCGCCGCTGGTAGCAAACACGGTCACATCGACCACTCCAGCAGGAGCGTCGGGTAGGGTACCCTCGATTTGATCATCAGCGCGTGACGTAATAACCAGGAGAGCGTCGCCAAACCGAACATGGCTCACATTGTCGGCACTTCCGAACAAGCCAGTGCCATTGATAGTCACTCGTGTTCCAAGCTGACCTGACGTCGGATAAACATCCTGCAGCGGTGGGCAAAACATAAAGATAAAAAGAAAAAAAAAAGAAAACATCAAGCAAACAAATGGCAGTTGAATTCAGGTGTAGCAATGATGAAACAAAAGTAGGGCTAGCCGGGGCACGCCCAACGAAGACAGTTGCGCGATAGGTGGCGTGCAGGTTTGGAGTGAAGTACGCACCGTCACAACTCCTCGCTCCATGTACTCAAAGCCGTCGGGTTTAGTGACCTTCGCGCCGGAGAGGGCCGTAATGGTAACGTCACCGAGACCTGCAACATTATCACCAGCCTCCACCACAATTTCAGTGTTGGAAGCGGACTGAATGGTGGCCGCTGTACCGGCCAAATCCACTTGGGCCACACCACTGGCGGCACCAAACAGCCGCTCGCCAGTGATTGTTACGCGAGTTCCGGCTTGGCCAAAAGCCGGACTAGACCACGGAGAAAAAAAAGACACAAGGGAAATTCAAATGAGGTCCAAAGCACGAGGTGGGAAAAGCGGTCAAGGCATGCCCGCCCTTGTGATGAAAGGCACGGAGAAGGAACAACAAGTCAAGCGGGCACAGGGACAAGGTGTTTGGTGCGCGCCTACGAGGCAGGGAGCGGCCTCAGAGGCAGGATAGAGAGCCGGGGGGCGCTGACCTGATGTTGTCAATGATACCGGCGGGTTGATAATGAAACACATCGGCAAGACCCGTGTAGGCGCCTGATGTGGTGTCAAGTTGAACCGCTCCGCTGGCAAAGGCTGATGTATTGGCGCCGGCACGCACGACGACCCAAGTGGCGTTTTGCTGCAGAATGGCCTCGCTTGGCTGACCATCCAACGACACTGCGGTGATCTGGCCTGCGTTGGGACCTTGCAGGTTGATGCCTTGTAGTGTCACCAGGGTGCCGGCCTGACCGCGGTCTGGCGTCACCGCAGTGATGGTGACGGGTGCCGTATAATTGAAAGCCGCTTCGTGGATGACGCGGGCATAGGTGTCAGCGATGATGGTTAAGTTTACCTGCTCAAGTGCAGTGGGACTCAGCCCCACGCGCACTACAATTTGCGTGTTGTTGAACGCTGTCACCTCTTGCACCTCGATGCCACCCAGGCGAAAGCTGAGAATGCTATTGCCCCCACCCAGCAGGTTAACTCCCTGCAGAGTAATGTAACTGCCCCGAGTTCCCTCTCCGGGATGGACAGCAGTGACTGCGGGCGGAGTCAGATATCGGAAGGCAGGCGCCATTGACACGGTGACATTGGAGTATGTGAGCTCGGTGTAAGCACCGTCGGTAGCCACCACAATGACCGAGCCGTTGACCTCTTGGGAACTCGGCCCCGCCGCGACCACAACGCGTTCTCCCGTGGCGTTGAGCACAGAGGCCTCGACGCCGGCAAGGAGAACGCGTTCGAGTGTGAGCGCGCCGCCAAGCAACGAGACGCCCTCAATGGTCACGCGCGTTGATCCCACACCGATAGCGGGGTAGACGGCGGTGATGGCACCCGGTGCCAGAAACTCAAAGAGTTCAATGCCGTACACGTATGACCCACTGGGGGTGGAAATGGTAAGATTGTTTGAGCCCACAGGGTGACTCGTGTTGAGTTCAACCACCACCACCGTGTCGTTGGCGGAGAGCACGTTTGCCACGGACACCCCTCCAAAGACGACATCAGCAGTACCCGTCGTGCCAGCAAGCATGCCTTGGCCAACAATTGTGACAACACTGCCACGGGAGCCGACAGGAGGCTGTACGGCTGAAACCTGTGGTTCGAGCAGATAGGTCCACGATGCATCGGCAGACACCACGGCGCCAGAGTCGGCTACAAGGGTAACGGCTGCAGGAGACACCGACTCCGGAGCGGGCGCCGCGCGAATCACAACTGCCGTGTCATTTTCCGCAACCAATGTCGCCTCGACGCCATCGAGAAACGCATGCGCTACATGCGAAGAAGAGCCGCGCAGCCGTTGGCCAACAATGGTAACAAGCGTTCCCTGGGCGCCTTGCGCAGGGGTCACGCCGGCAATGAGGCCATCCTCTACTAGTGTCAGCGCTGCGGTGGCACCAATGCTTGACCCATCGTCAGCTTGAAGAGAAAGGTCAGTTGTGCCCAGGGTGCGGCTGGCCTCATCCACGACAAACGAAATGCGCGTGGCCGAGACGGGGTATTGCACGGACACAGGTATGCCTTGCAGTTGGACCCAGGAAACATTGGCACCGGCGCCCAGCAGGCCAGTACCGAGCACTGTAACGGTTGTGCCTGTTTGTGCACTGGTTGGTGTGACGCTGGCGATGACAGCTGGGGGGGCATAGGCCGTGGCATTGGCCAGCAGGGCCAACGCGCCATCGGCGGCACGAAGCGTGACAGACTCTGGACTAGACGAAGCGCTCGCACTGGGGGCGGCACGGACCACAACACGGGTGTCGTTCTGCTCGATGATGGTTGCGTCGAGAGAGCCAATGCGAACGCTGGCTACGCTGCTGACGCTGCCAGTCAAGCGGGATCCAGTGATGGTCACGTAGCTCCCGCCGTGAACAACGGCTGGTTCAACAGCATCGATACGACTGGGTGTGGTATAGGTAAAGTTCAGGGCAACGTTGGTGACGGTGGCGTTGTAGCGGGTGACCAAATGAACTGGACCCGAGCCTAGGGTTGGGTCCCCAGCCGCCTCAACCCTCACAAGAGTGTCGTTGTAGCTGATGATGTTACGCACTGGTACGGTGGCCAGGCTGACCTGGGTCACCTGCGAAGTTCCCATCAAGAGCGAGACGCCAGTAATATCAACAAAAGTACCCAGCTGGCCCGAGCTGGGGGTGACGCCCGTAATGACAGGGGCCTCAACGTAGCGAAATCCGTTGAGGCGGCGGACAGTGGCACCATTGCTGATCTCAATGATAATGTTGCCCGAAGTTGGCCCCGTGGCATCGCCGGCAACCACGACGACCTGGCTGGAACTCTCCTCCAGGACTGCTCGGACGGGAAAGCCAGCCAGGGTGACGTTGGTGATGGCGGGCGGAGCAACACCAGCCAGGAGGCTGACACCGGAAATGGTCACGAGGGCCCCACCCACGCCCACGGGAGGCTCTACGGTAAAAATATCACCGGGGATAATCTGGTATGTCCACCCGTTCTCCAAGACAACCTCCGGGCCCGAGTCGATGTAGAGAACCACATCACCCGTAAGACCTGGCAGCTCAGCTGCACCCGCTTCGACTACAATCTGCGAGTTGTTGTACTGCAAGATGTTGGCGGCGACACCCGCCATGCGCACTTGAATGACTTGGCGGCCCCCACTGCGTCCGTGAGCATCGAGTGTTGGCCACCACATCGAATCATGGGCATTGCGATCAAAAGAGGCGGGAAAGAACCGATTGGGACGTGAGGCGAGGCGCGGTCGAAAGAAGGGTTGGATGTGTGGCATGCAGGCTACAGTGATGATGGTCGCAACCGCATCAAGGTACCAAGGAGTGTAAAAGTGATGGTGCTGACATACCTGAGCAAGTCGGTTCCAAAAATAGTGACGCGCGTGTTGGTAATGCCCTTGCTGGGCTCTAGCCGGGTGATGTTTCCGGGGGTCACAAAGGTCCACGCGTCGGTGGCAATGACTTGAGCCCCCGTATCCGCCTCGATGACGATATCACCAATCACATTGCCCGTCGCGGGGCCGGCGGGGGCGGTCACACGAACAAACTTGTTGGTTTGTTCGAGAATAGTGGCCGAGCGGTTGGCCAAGGTAACGGATTGCACGCTGGTACCAGCGCCACGCAGATTGTCGCCAAAAATGTAAAGACTGGTGCCTTCCACACCTGAGCTGGGGGCGGCTGCAGCGATAAAGCCAGGCTCGGCATATGTCCAGTCGACTGTACTGGCCACTCGGACATGATGATCCGCCGTCAAGACGATGGGGCCAAAGCCGGCTGGTCCAGGCGCCGCACGCAGCAACACGTGTGTGTCGTTGTGTTCTAGAATCTCAGCCGCGAGCTGATTGATGGAGGCCGACATCAAAAAGGTGCCACCCCCCAGCAATCTCGAGCCAACCAGGGTGACGTAGGTGCTACGGTCAGGACGGCACACCAAGGGGCATTAGAGATGAGGGGAAGAAGAGGAGGGATGAGATGCGGGGGTCAACGTTTCTAGAGATCAGATACGAGGGTTGCGTAAGACTTACCCGCCCTGGCCACTGGTGGGAGCCAGACTGGTGATGGCGCCGGGCTCTACAAGAGGCGGGACAACGAGACCAGCAGCAAATGCCAATGAGATAGGTTGGACAAAGTGCAGCACGCCGGGCCTGGTTGGCATTGACAGCTGCTCAGCCATGAGGGCCGATATGCTCGCGCCGCTGGTCAGCTCTGGATACCTGTGTACTCGAAAGCAAAATCCTCCTCGAGGAGGGCGCCGGTGTCAGCTTCAACAAGCACGGTGACGTTTCCAGCGGTTGCGCGACGAGGCACGATGGCAACGACGGTGGTTTCGTTGCTAAAGACGATGCGTTCAGCCGGCTTGTTGTCAAAATCCACACGCGTGGCATTGAGCCCGCCACCCAGGAGGTTCGTGCCGTGGATGGTCACGATTGAGCCGGTTTGACCCTGGCGCGGTTCAAGCGAGAGCAAAGCTGGGGTGGCCAGATACTCAAAGGTGATAGCGCCAGATGGATCACACGGTGCCAAGTCGGCGTAGGCGGTCGGATGGTACCAAGCGGCAAGCAAAAGCGTCGCCAGGGTCAGAAAGAGTGGGGTAAAATGGCGCCCGGTGGCATGGCTCGGCGTTTTGCCGTTGTTGCCCAATAAAGCCATGTCGAGACAGCGCCAGGCTCAATCGGGCAGGGAGTCAGAAGAGGTGTCGGGTGGGCCAGAGAAACCCGCTGCCGACAATACACGGCCACAAGCCACGGAGGCCTATCCGTGCCCAAAAACCAGACAAGCAGCGGGGCATTGAGAAAATGAATAGCGCACGCACAGGGCAAAGAGCACGGTCGACGTGAGTGTTGGCATAGCTCCGCTGAGAGCGCTGACAAAGAAAGGGAAAATAAAAGGCGGGAGGCGGGGATCGAGGCTCGCACGATCGTTCAAGAGTTGGTTGCTCTGTTAACATTTGCTCACCCTTGGCAAGGTGCAAAAAGGACGTACGTTTGACGTGGGTCAAAAAGAAACCAATTCGCCTGATGCTGTTTCGTCACCGCGGGGACGAGCGGAGCCCAATAAGCCCTCGCCGGAACGATCGGTGCGCCGTCACCGGCAAAAGGATTGAATTGGCGGTGGTCGGCAACCACTCAACCTCGTCAAAAAAAAAAAAAAAGGTTCACAAAAGAGAAACGTCTAAGACAGAGGGTGCGTGAGAGAGGGAAGAGAGGGAGACTAGAGGAGGATGTGTTGACCAAACAACAAGGTGACTTTGATCACCATCATCACAAAAGAAGAGAGAAGCGGCTTGCTGCACCCCACCCACCCTCACTTCCCCTTTGCCACCCAAACTGCAAGCATGCACGCAAGCCCAAGTGTCTGAAGACTTTCACTTGGTAACACACTCCAGTTTGTCTCTGTCTTCATAACCTTTCTTCAGTGAGTCTCCCATCAGATTCACGAGTCTCTCAGTCTCAGTCTCTCTCTTTCTCTCTCTCCCAAACGCACACACAAGAGAGAGAGAGAGAGAAAAAAAAAAATCAGTTTCCCCCTTTCCCGAGAAAAAAAACGAGAAACCGACCGTTTGTCGGATCCCTCTCAACAGCACAGCGAGCAGCGAGCGTTGGGGCCTGCCCCTGGGACGCGGGACGTGGGACAGGATCGTCTGTGGGGTTGCACCTTGTGTGACCACCAGTGTAATGGCGTATCGCCGTGTACCGCCCCCTAGCGCTTTGGCGGGTCGGCGGCCTGGGCCGCCGCCATCCTTTTTAACACCGCCATCTTCCGGAACCAATCGACCACCGCCCCCGTTTCTGACCCCGCCCGCTGTCAGCGCTGGCCGCGAGACGAGCGTTCACAGCAGCTCGCGGCCAGGACCACGGCCGGGATCGGGACCCGCGGCTGCCGGTATCGAGGAGTATGGTGGTCCTGCCCGCCATCCACGACCCGGGCATCATCCAGTCCCCGGTGGCCCTCCCCTGCCGTTCACGCGCCCTCCGGGTGCGCCAGCCTCCGACCTGCCCCTGCCCGTGCAGCCCCTTAATCTACCTCCCGGGATGCAGCCGCACAACGTCCCCCCCTCGATTGCGGGAGTTCAACCTTACAACGTGCCACCTTCAAATCTCCAACCTCACAACGTCCCGCCCAGCATGCAAGGCCCTCCATCCTCTGCCGCTACCGGCGCAGCGATCCCTAGCCCTCGCCTGGGCCGCCTTTCAGCCGGCACCCCTCCAGGGCCGGGCCCATCACGACCAGCACCATGGGCCTCCGGCGCGTCCCGAGGGCCACCCCCTGGTCCCCCACCTCTGCCCATGGCCGGTTCCAGTCCGCTCCGCAACGGCCCCTTCCCCTCGAGCCCTGTTGGAGGCCCTCCTCCCACCCAGCCTCCACCTCCGCACGCCCGCCCACACCTGCATGGGCATCCTCTCAACACCCTGCCACCACCTCCGATGCGAACCGCAAGCATGCATGCATCTCTGCCACCCACCCCCCTCTCTACTCCCAACAACAACGGTCCCTCCCCAAGGCCCCCAACCCGACGACCGCTGCGCCCACCGACCAACGTGCCTGCTGGGCGGCCCAGTTCGCCACTCGACCCATCCTTGGCCTCATTGCTGGACGACGCCGAGGCCAAAGTCATTGGCCATCTTCATCGAGATGGCTCCATGGACACGCTCACCGCAGCAATCCTTCAGCGCGTCCGCGAACACCATGCCGATCCCTTGTCACGCGCCGTCGACAGCGAAACCATGCACTACCTCCATGCCTACGGTGAAGCCGTCAACGAAGCTGCCCTGAAGACGGCCATTCGCCCCCGCCTCGCCAGCTTCATGTCAGTCAGCCCAAGCCGTTGCTTTGTGGCACTTTCTGCCGCCTCTTTCTTCCCGCGCACTGACCTCGCCCGCATCCCTCCGTCGCATGGAACGAGACATTAACGCTTGGTTTGATGTTGAATATGCTGCCCACGACCAGTCCATTCAGGTTCCGTTCTTTCGTCCATTTGGCCCTTGACATCTTTTTTATCCGCCCCCCCCCCCACACACACACACGTTCTGACTCCGTTCTGCCTGTCTGGTCCATGTCCCATGCTCTGATCGTACAGACACTGGTCGAGGATGCTGCCCCTGTGGATACTTTTCTGGCTCCGCAAGACAGGGTCCTGTCCACGGACACCGAATCAGCCACAGACGTGGCACCTGTGCGGCGCCGTTCTGGTGAAGATTCAGCCCCACCCCACGTGACGCCGCGCATCATCGATACTTTGCTACACCGACGTGAAACCGCGAGCGGACCCAGCAGTCGCCGCTCATCCACCTCGCAGCCAGCACTCGATCCGGGTTCGGATTCCCAAGATGGCGAGCCTGCTGCCAAGCGCGTTCGCGCTCTGGCGACCTCCGAGCGAGGCCCCAAGGTGAACCCCTCGCCCGATGTCAAGCAAAAGAACAAGGACAAGAATCGCGGCCAGAACAAGGCGGACCAACTGCAGCACTGGATTGCACGGTTGCAAGCCATGGAACAACAAGAAACTGCCTGAGAGGTGCTCGAGCGAATTCCCGTGCCTGAGAGGTTCACTTGCTCGCGCAGACGCGTTACCATAGTCATATCAATTTGCAACTTATTTGGATTGGCAGATCCTAGCGATCACACGAGCTATTGCGGCTGCACCAGGGGTGACTGCTATGCCTGACTTGAATCACGCTCGTTTGACTCGTTGGGCTGCTCAGAGACCGACTCGGGAGCTTCGGCCGGCATGTTCTCCAGCGTACCAGCCTACACGAGCCGCCTGGCGCATCAGCTTGGTTGTTCAGGCATGATTGGGCGGTGTATTGTATTGGCAGCCAACGCTCTGACCTGCAATTGCCGCTGAACCAGATCGCAATAGGTGCCGCGTGCGCGCAATAGCTCCTCGTGCGTACCTTGCTCCACGATTCGCCCCTAGGGTAGACGGTATCCAGAGAACCAATGAGACGCCATGCACAATCATCAGACAAACAAAAACAACCCCCCCCCTCCCCCCCCTAAAGACCTTGGACTAGACCATTCACCACGAGAAGACGGCAAGAGGTGGTGTTCCGGCACCTCTGGTCCCGCTGCGCGGGCCTTCAATTCAATCCTTGCTTTGAAATTCCCTTTCTGTTCAACGTCTTGAAAAGAAAATGCAAGCCAAAACTAATCCCCCAATTCAACCTGCATCGTGTCTGTGCCACGTGTGGAACCGTAGCCTTACCTTTTGTACAACGAGAATGACATTGGCGTTGCGGATCGTGGAGAGACGGTGCGCAATCACAATAACCTGCGTCGTTATGGTGGTGCCACAATGAAAGGCGATAATCTCCAGCAATTTGAAAGCTTGCCTGGCATGTCACTGCTCGAGATGATTGTCCACACGTACCGTTCGACCCATCATAGCTCGATCGAGAGCAGTCTGCACCTCGTGCTCACTCTCGGCATCCAGAGCAGAGGTGGCTGTCATTTTCACACTTGTGAGACAACCCAATCACGGTGGCGCCCACAGGGAAGGGAAGCGGCTTGACGGGCCAGTATCACTCCTCTCACCTTCATCAAGCAAAAGAATTTCCGGTTGGACAAGAAGGGCCCGGGCAATGGCCACGCGCTGCTTTTGCCCGCCGCTAAGTCGGACGCCACGCTCACCAACCATGGTATCGTATCCCTCTTCGAAGGATTGGATAAAGTCGTGTGCGTTTGCCATGCGCGCCGCTGCTTCGACTTCTTCGTCGGTCGCGGTAGCCTACAATCCCACCCAGCAACAATGTGTAAATGACCTCAAGGTGAGAGCGCACTCGCACACGTAGCATGAACAAGCAGTTCCATAGAGTCTGAACGCACGCGGCCATATTTGATGTTTTCGCGGATGCTCATGGCAAAAAGAACGGGCTCTTGCCCAACAAGAGCCATGTGGTGGTGCAGCCACGCAGGATCAATATCACGCAAGTCAACACCGCCCAATGTCACTTTGCCCTTGGTGGGTGAGTACCAGCGCTCCAAAAGGCCCACCAAAGTGGACTTGCCACCTACAAACGACCACACGAAGCACCCATGCATTAGTTTGGTGGAGGCTAGATGGGGAAGTGATCTGACATCACGAGCAACAGGCCCCGAGCGCCGGCGAGTGGCCGTGCAAGAGACACAATGACTTGTTGATGTGCCAGGTGCCTTGTCGAAGGGAACCGACCTCCCGAGGGTCCAACCAGAGCCACGATGGAACCCGGTGCGATGGTCACCGACACCTGCATGAGGCACAAATAGGCAGTCAGCAATGGACACTGATTGGTCTTTCTTTGGGTCATAAGAGTTGTCCAAGGCCGTACCTCGTGAAGCACTTGCGTGTCGGCGCGGGCTGGGTACCGAAAATCGACCTTATCCAAGATCAAGGGCGCGTCGGCAGGCAGCTTGGGCACAATACCTCCCTCGATGCCAATCTCGGGCACCGCATCCATGAGCTGAAAGATACGAATTGATGCGCCCACCGCCTAGCAAAAGTCAAGGCACAAGCCGGTATGAGCTTGCAGAAAAGACTCGAAACGTGACGAGGGTGCGTGTTGTGAGTCAGCGCCCCACCTGCATAAAGTCACCGAAAAGGGAGGACAAGAAACCAAGGGCCATGGCCACTTGGAGTGAGTACAGGAGGTAACCGGCCAGCAGGCCTGATGTAATGTGTCCGCGCACCACCTATTCACGGAGTCAGACGGGACACGAGGCGTCAACATGGCATTGTCGCTACTGCCGGTGGACAAAAGAGCACAGGGGGGGTTACTTTACTTACTTGCATGCCGCCATACCAAACGACAAGGAGAACGGCCATCTGCGCAAAAAAGGTTGTACCACCCGAAAAGTAGCCCGAGACACGGGCCAAAGTTTTGCCAACAATATATGACTCCTTGATGGCCTGGCCATAGTGCTGCCGAGCCAGAGGTTCATTGCTGAAGGATCGCACAGTGCGGATGTTGCTAAACGTTTCTTCCGCATTGGCCGATGCCTTGGCCAGCTCATCCTGAAACTTCTTTCGCAAATTGCGCACTTGCTTGCCGTAAAACACCGCCCCAATCACCACGGGCGGGACGACGGAAAGCAAGACGAGCTGCAGACGTGCAAAATAGCAAAGTACCGAGAGCGTCAACAGCAGCTTGGACTTCAGACTTGTTGACAAGAACCTTTGAAGCGCAGGGTGAGATGACTTACAGTCAGGCGCCAAGAGAGGAAAAACATGACAATGAGGGAGCCCACAATTTGCACCACGTAACGCAGCAACATCGAAATGTTCACGGTCACGGCTAGAATGCGAGCATAGCAGAGACAAGACAAGTGTGAGTAAAAAAAAAAAAAAAAAAAAGGAGCCTGGGGAGCATGACATGCGCGCGCCATACAGTTTTGGATCACTTGCGTGTCCGACGCAAGGCGGTTGGTCAACTCTCCAGTTCGATTAGTATCGAAAAAGGAAATGTCTTGGCGCACAATCGCAGCAAAAACGCGGCGGCGAACGCGAGCCACCAGTCGCTGGCCAGCCCACTATTGCAACAAGGATGACAAGTTTTGGTGACAGGGGGTTGCAGACGGTGCATTCATGCGCGAATAAACGCAAGAAAAAAATAATAAATGGGCGATGTGAAGCATCAGGGCATACCGTAAACAGCCAAGCCCGCACGAAAGCGGCAAAGGAGCCAACACCGTAGACAATGCCGAGATACAAAATTTGCCGGTCCAATTTGTGTTGCGCATCGGCCTTGGCAGTGGCGGCGTCAATAACCTAAGTGCCATGGCAAGCGGAGCGAGGAGGGGTGAGCATACTACACGCATCTCAAAAAGGCGACATGAAATCAGCGTGCTGCTGAGCCAAAACAGGCACGAACCTGGCCAAAAAGGTAGGGGGCGGCGATGGTTGCGCCCGAGGAAAAGACCATCGCAAAAGTACCACCAGCCAACAACCATTTCTCCTATGAAAAAGGTCATCCAGACACGTGCACGTACGGTTGTAAGAAGCGGGTAGGTGTGAGCAAGAGAGGCGTTTTGCGAAAAGAGATGGCTGACTCGGCAGCTGACACGGGATGGAACGGCAGCTAAGCCACGGACCGGTTTGGCTAAAGAGATGAGGCGCTTCAGATCAACCTTGGGCGGCTTTTTGTTGGCTTCTAAAGGTAGGCCCATCCCAGAAGCGGAATTATAAGACCAGCCGGCCAGAGATGACTCAAACGAGACGTCGAGGTGAACAGAGCTCAAGCAAGTGAGCGGACAGAAGTGGGCACGAACCCCCTTTCTCTGGATCATTGCCGCTGGCTGTCTCATGTGCGTCCAGCAAGTGCCGCGCTTGCCGCCGCCTAACATAAGCCATGTAGTGAGAGGAAAGACGGAAGGCGCACAGGGCGAGCAAAAGGTCGTGCGTATGTGTGTGTGTGTGTGTGTGTGTGTGTGTGTGTGTGTGTGTGTGTGTGTGTGTGTGTGTGTGTGTGTGTGTGTGTGTGCAGGCGTCACGTACCGCATTTCGCTACTCAGGGTGGTTCCCAGAAGACCCGAGGCAAAGGCGCCAGCCACGGCTACGGCAGCTGTGGCAATGGCAAGGCCCTGTGTAGCCCCACTGACGTGCAAAAAAACAAAAACATGGTCAGCACGGGACGAGTCTCGAGGACATGGTCAGCACGGGACGAGTCTCGAGGTAGACAGAGGTAGGTGATGGGCACAGCGAGACGGGCGAGTGGGAAAGGTTCACCTTGCATGTTTGTGTTCATCGGCAAGTAACACAAGTTTGGCCGCCGCGTGCGCAGCACTGGCCAAAGGTAGGCCGACAGCGATGATCTGCAGGAAGATTGAGGGACGATAAATGGCAGCATCCTTCTCGATGGCCTGCGACACCTTATGTTCTGCCAACGCAGCACCAAGATCGGATGAGCAGGAGCGTGGCTGATGCGTGCGATGCGCCGTGAAAAACACGGAACAAGGGCACCGCGTCATCTCCCATTCTCGTTTGAATCATGTTGTCATGGTAGCAGCTGGCCGTACCAGCGTAGAGCCAGATGGCGCTAAGGATGGCAAGCCTCACGCCCGCAAGAACCACCACATCCAGGAGGGAGGTATCCCACGCGTAGTCGGCAGCCTGCTCATTCTCCAGATAGCTGTGCTCGTGGTGGAGACCGGTAATGAAGAAGAACAGAATGACCAAGGCGCCATCGCCCAGGCAAACAAGAAGTGGCGGTATGGCCATACTATCGTCCATAGAATTCAAAGTGAGACGCCAGCCGACCCCGATCCAAATGCAAGATGCACACCACTCACTCGCCACTGCGGCCCTGCACCAAGGCAAGCGCAAAGTTGCTGCTGCTGCTACTACTACTACCACTCCTGCTATGATTGCTACTGCTACACCCACTGGTAGAAGACGAAGCGGCAGCAGGAGCAGAAGTAGTAAAATACACGATCTACTGCCCAAAGCTCAACCCCTGACAGCCTCCCTTTGCACTGCACGGTCACGCAGCTGAATGGCACGGGCTGGGGTTGTCAGACGCTTTTGGTTCCACGTCACTTTTGAATTTGAAATCATCTGACATTTGCGCTTTGTCTTTCTCTCTGTACATTTGGTAAGGCGCGCGGAGTCGTTTATGCTAATGAGGATGATCATGAACTTGTTGTTGGCCTCCAACCACCAAACTACGTGATTTTACAAGAAAATGAAGATCTATAAGCATATCTTATATTAGTTTATGTGGGTTCTTCTAGGGAAGTCGTCGACGCTCAAACGGCTAATGTTGCGTTTGATAGACTTTATGATACACTCGATGGCAAGTTGAAAATAAAAAGGCAGTGCCGTGCCGTATACCCACTGATGCGTGCATTTCCGCCCGACACGGTCTGGACCCCTGCCGTCTCAGCGTCCCGGACTCTCCTCCTCCTCACATTCTTCCCCAGCCTCTCTGTGCTATCTGTCGCAAACGGAGCAGCTGCCCCGCTCAACCAAGCAGTATGGTCAGTTGATTGCTCTGTCGCCCACCATTGGTTGATTACGCAACGGGGTCAGGCTCCAGTGGCCGCCCTCTCTCCTGGGCCTGCTCGCAAGTTCCCCCCCCCCCAAACCTTCTTTGCGCCTTGCTTGGTCGCAGCGCTTCTGTCGCGTCCCTGTTCTTTCTCGTTTTTGCCTCTTATTGTTGTGCTCGTTCCGCCGCTGCTTTGCTCTTGCTTTTTCACTTTTTTTTGTTTTGGTGGAACCCTTCCTTTGCGCATTATGGTCTCATGATGGCTGGCGTCGTGACAAAACAGGCCGACTTTGTGATTTGCGGCGACATTGGTGGAACCAATAGCCGCCTCGCCCTCTTTGAAGGTTTGTTCGCTCGGCCACGACCACATCTTTATCAAGTCTTGAGACAAACCACCCGAGACCGAGAATAGGAACTGGACGGCCCGACCCACCTGCCCTTGCTCACCCCACCGCATCACGTAGTACCTGCTGGCACGGCCCAGGCCAAAGAAAGCCGGATCGGTGACCTTCACCATCTCATCCACTCTCACAACTACAAGAACGACAAGTTCTCCAGTTTCACCGAGGTGGTTCAAAAGTTTATTGTGGACGCCCACCAAGAAAATCCCGAGGTCAAGGTGAGGCTTGTGCTCCCGATTGCCTCGATGCCATGCCCGTCCCACCAGACCAGCTCAAGTGACAGATCAACGCTTGTGGACCCCCCAGCGCATTACCATCTCCACGGCCTGCTTCGCCGTCGCTGGCCCCGTCAGCGACAACGTGGTTCGTTTGACCAACCGCGGCGAGTGGAACATTGCTGCGAAGGAACTTGAATCCTCTTTTGGCATTCAAGAGGTTCGCCTCGTCAACGACTTTGTGGCCAATGGGTAGGTGCGGCAGGCCCGTTATCTCATTTTCTTGTCGAGCAAGGGCTGTAGCAGGAATTCTTTTGCTTTCGCCCAATGACTGCCGCTGCTTGTTTTACACCTTGGCCTCATTTTTCGCCTTTGCGGCTGGCAGCTTTGGCTTGCTCACGCTCAACACGCACGAGTATGAAACGGTCCAGGGAGGTGCCCACAACTCTGAAGCCCCGATTGCTCTCGTCGGCGCAGGCACAGGCCTCGGCGAGTGCTTCTTGACATATACGGGACAGCGCTATGAGGCCTTTGCCACTGAGGGCGGGCACGTCGAGTTTCCTCCTCGCAACGAGGTTGAGATTGAGCTTTTGCGCTATTTGCAAAAGAAATTTGGCAGCTCCAGCAAGCCCGCGCGCATTTCCACGGAACGCATCGTCAGTGGCAAGGGAATTGAAAACACGTACGACTTTTTCACCAAGTATGCGCCTGACGAAGTCGACGAGCGCTGCAATCGCGAAATCTGGGATCAAGACGAGCCGGCCAAGGTGTGTGAAGCATCTCGTTGTTAAACTTTTTTTTGCCCGGGGAACAGTGTAACTCATTTGCCTCCGTCATCGGGCGACGCTTCCCGTGGTCTGCTCAAGTAGAAGATCAGCATGATGGCCTACGATTACAAGCTGGCTCAACGTACCATGGAACTCATGATGGCAACCTATGGCGCCGAAGCCGGCAACGTGGCACTCAAATACCTGCCCTATGGTGGTGCGTCTTCCCATGTCTCTATCAACCGTACCAAAAGGCAAGGCGAGGTCTTTGAGATCATCGCTCTCCGCGTAATCTTATTGCCTTATCCTGCTGTTTCGCTCTCCGGCCACTCCTGCCACAGGTCTGTACATTGCAGGTGGCATTGCTCCCCACAACATGCAGTACATCAAAGGCGCCGATAGCATCTTCTTGCGCGCCTTTCACGATAAAGGCCGTGTTGCCTCCATTCTCGCCGACGTCAGTGACCAGCGACTTGATTGTAATCTTTTTGGTTGTTTGTTTTCGGTTTTGTTGCTTTGTTTTTGTATTTTGGCTTTGTGTGGGGTCATGGCAACCAAGTCGTTGACACCAACAACAGCTCATGACTCTTTGTGCCAACCTTGACTTGAGCACAGGTCCCAATTCGCGTCGTCAAGTCGGAAGATCTGGGCTTGCGGGGTGCCCACGTGGTCGCCGTGCGCATGCTGGTGGACAGGCAGTCTGTAACTGGCCAGCGCGCCCCAGCACGCGCTGGCGTATCCCCAGGTGCACCTGGTCACAATCGCTCAACAGCCGGGTCGCCCGCTGCTACTCAGAGCCCCACTGGCATTGACATGGCAACAATGCTCGTGACCGCCACCATGGCTTCGGTCATGGCAGTGCTTGCATCGCACTGGATCATCAAGCGGCTTTAAATGGGGCGCAACTGCTCTGGGTGAATGCATCAAGTTTATTCTACAAGGGTGATGCAGAGTTGTCATGCCTACCCTTCCCAGACGTGAGGCAGCACCGCGATCCAACTTGTTCGAGCCACAGCCGAGTCAATCAATTTGCATTGGTATCGCTTCCTCTTTCTTTACCAAGCCGCGCGTCATGCAATCTCCTCGTGCTCTGCCACAACAAAATCGGGGTGCCAATATAGGCAGGTGTTGCGACCCTCAAAGGGCAGCGTGGCTGACCGAAGGGCTGGCACAAGTTCATGATAAAATTGCAACAGCTGATCGTACTGCACAACGGGCGTTCCGTCCGTCAAGCGTCGGCCGGGATGTTCTTTGGCATGCACGCAGCAGGGAATAACGGCAAAGGGCTTGCGGAAGGCCAGGGCACAACGAATCAACGCATCTGTGGCGCTATCGGGATGCAGGCCCACAAAAACAGACGCTGTCTCCAGTAAGCTGGTGCCTTCTGCAAGTGGCATCACCTCCACGTGCTCCTCAATGGGCTTTGGAGCATCCTGCTCCGATTCGGGCGATGCGGCCTGCTGCTCTGTGTCAAGAGGCAAAAAGTCGTGGGCCCGCTGCGGATCTGCATAGCGGCTGGTCGCGTTGAGAAGTCCACGACTGTCCTGGATGGGCTCGAAGGTCGGCTCAGACTGCTTGTTCAAGATGAAGCAGGCACGCACATGACGCAGGGGAGCTAGGCGGGCTCGAATCTCCTCTAATGTTTGACCCACATTGTAACCTGCCAGGGCCTGGTTGCGAAAGTACCACCCACCACGCAGCCGCCGCGCAAAGGCAACCGGCTGCAGCTCCCGTGGTTCAACTGTCGTAACGGGAATCCCACTCAACCGGCTCAGCTCAAAGGCCAGCTCGCCTTTACCCGACGCCACGTCCAATATACCCGACCCTTGCATCAGAGTTTGCCGGCCAAAGGTATCCAACAAAAAGCGTCGCACGGCGCTGGCACGCAAGTCCTTCCGCACCCGCCGTCGTTGGCGCTTGCCCGCTTGCTCGCTCGCTGGCTTGACTGGAGACCCATCAGTGCCGTCACTCGGCGCTTGCCCCACCTGATCACTTGCCGCAGCAATGTGTTGAAAGAAGCAAGCGTCGCCGTACCGGCACGTACCCGTCCGCGAGAAATGCTTGCACGTGGGTCTTTCGAGCGTTAGCCCTGCCGAAACCATGCAAGCCTCATGCCGCCAGGCATTGCGGCCCTGCACATCCCGAGCTGGCCATATGCGCTCCCCCACCTTCACCATCTCCCCACACAAATCACACTGCACCGCATAGCGCGCCTCCATCGCCGCTCACCTCCCCCGCTCTCTGCTCGCATCATCCAAACTCCGATTTCTTTTTGATTTTTTTTTTCTTTTTTTTCAGAGCAACGTCGTCGCCCATGATTTTTTAACATCCCAGGGAACACCTGCACCCTCTCGTATTTAAACCTTCAACTCGGGCCGCGCAGCGACGATTTCGTTGTGGTGACGACGCCGACGTCGAGTCAAGAGAATGGCCGCGACCACGGGTGGCAAGTCTGTTGTCGACTGGCAGGCTTTGCTGCTGGAGGCCCGACAGCGTTATGAGACAGCCTTGGATGTAACGCTCGAGGGAGCGCTTGCTGCCTGCAACGCTTTGGTTCAGCAATTGGACGGCGATGTCCACATCCAGCGAGTCTGGGCATCTCAACACAAGCATGACCCCACCGTAGCCTCGGATATAGCTTCGGCCGCCCGTGCTGACGACGAAGATGCGAGCGATGCCAGCAAACGACGATTCTTAGTGCTTCAGGACGAAGCCGTGGGCATCTGGCAGATCAACTCGGAGGTTGAGCCCGATCTGGTGTCGGGGACAACTGAACTGGAACATGCTCTTGTCGTGCATCAGGGTCGCTTTTTGGACCCTTGCATTGCTCGACTGGGCTCGCAGTTGAACACTGAACCCATGAGCTTAGTATTGCGCCTCCCAACTGCTGCAGCGCCCTCCACCACCGACGCTGATGCCGAGGTGTCCATGCCGGCCGCCACCATCGGGCTAGATCAAGCGCGACCTGCGGATGCCTCGTCCGCCGAGCCAAATCTTCGCAGCCTTCCCACCCGAACGCCAATGCCAGATGAAGGTCCGTTCCTGCCCCGAGGACTTGGTTGATGCATTCTTCTTCATTGCTCTTCTTCTGCTTTCACTGGCGTGCTTGTTCTGCGCCGTCCACTCTTCCTACCCGGAGTCTGTCGCCCTTTTGACCGGCCACTTTGTGTTCTCTGCCGTCTCATTGCAATCTGCGTTTGGTGACTACTTTGGTGATTTGGCGAACCCCATGCATTGCTCAACGATGACAGTCATTCTAGTGTTTTCAGCAGCTCCTGGCACGCCACAACTCGTCGAGGCCAAGCGCCGACTCAAAATCAAGAATGCCAGTGACAAACAGGTCAGATTCACTGGTCTTACATGGCCACGCCATCATGGCAGTACCACGAGCGTTGATTTTAGGTCGGAGTCAACCACTCACGTGTTGACCCTGCTTCACACGCGCACGTCTTGATCATGCTTTGGCGCAGCTTGCTGTCATTGCAACCCACCTTCAGCGTTTAACCAACACCCAGTCCCTCTTTATTTACCTCAATTCGGTGGCTCCTCCTCTGAACATGACAATCGGCTCCCTCTTTTTGGTACGTTGCCTGTTTAGCGCGTATCTACGGCTCCAAGCTCACTTGTTTTCATTCACGCAATGGACCTTGCCCAAACAGCAACACGGCACCACCACGCCCAAGGGGAAACGACGCTTGGAGCTCTTGTATTCCACCTCTCCAGCCTTTGGCTAAACCGGCGTCATGCACAAACATCTAGGTGTTTCGCATCGATGCTGGGCTGGCAACTCGAGTTTCAACCATGTGTAGCAGCTCCTCACAACGCAAGAGCATGACGTAAATGAGTTTATCCACTTTGTCTGTTGTGTCATTGTAACGTCCAATTGATGGAGTAAAATCCATGGCCCATATTTGATGCCGGCGCGATGGCCGCAAGCGGAAACCATGCACCAAGCCGGAGACCAAACGAACAGGTTTAAACTGCATGCCCCTCCACCGCTATGGGTTATGTTGTTATCAAATGAACTGGGCAAGGAGCCAAGACTGGTTTTGACAGAAACTGAGCGCCAAAACCGGGACATACAAAACAAGATTGGGCAGAGGGAAGCAATCGACCCAATTGGCAAACGAAAATCGTCAGCGGCGCACGCGCCTTGGCAACCCATGCACTGGGTCCTCTCTCTCATATCCTGGAGGCATGATACCAGGGTTTTGCCCAAGTTGACGCAGACAACTGTAGTTCTGGCTCAAGAAGGCAGCTACATGGATTGCTACGCAAGCACATTGTCAAGGTGAGGAGAAAATAAAGCGCGTCAGTCCCCCGAACCATATTCCACTTTACAATGCTGCATCTGAGACACACCGGAGCCGGAGAGAGTGTGTGGCCGTTGGTAGGACCGTCACGAGACAAGTTGGCAACCAACTCTGACAGCCAACGTCGGGTGGTATGATCATCCTGCAAAGACGCGCATGCAACCGAAAAAATAAAAAATAAGATGAGGAACAAGAAACAAAAGAGAGAAGGTGAAGGGGACAAGTTTTGTTGATTGCTTCGTACCCGGAGGCATGAATCGAAAAAGTCGCCCTTGAGAGGCTCTGGCAAGCATTGGCGCAATGCTTCGCGGGCACGGCTGTTCGCGGACAGGCGCACATAGCAGTGGATGACATGCTTGAGAAGGCGGGAGCTCGGGCTGCGGGCAAGCTGATACACCATTTTGCTCAAAACCAGAGCGACGTGGGAGAAGCGCTCATAAGTTTGACAAATGTACACGAGCCCATTATCGTCCAAAAGGATCTTCTGGACGATAAACGTGGCGACGGTTCGGGAAAGCTCTGAGCCTGACTCCATGATTCGCAGGCAGAGCGGGATGATCTCCGTATTGAGGAGAAAGCTGATGACTTCCGAGTCATTGGTCTTGACAAGGGCACCAATCACGCCGAGACTAGTCAAACGCAAGTACTCAAAAGAGCGTGCCTTGTTGAGTGTGTTCAGCAAGGGGTAGAGGTACAAGGGAATGTGTGCTAAAGCAAGCCCAGCCAGTCGATTCAAGCGGATTGTCGGAAGATACAAACATCAACGGCAAGTGAGGGTTGCAACGAACAACTTGGCACAGATGGTAATTGAGCCGAACAAAACGGCCAGAACCTTGGATAAAGATCGTGGCTGCACATGCGTACCGTTCAGAAAGCGCGTGCGCGTGTCGGCATGTGAGGCCACTGATTGCAATAGGGCCAAAGCGTTGCAAACACGGTTTGAAGCAGGGGCCTAATACAGACAAGAGGGTAGGAGGGGAGGCACGATCGTCAGAACTCGGGAATTTTGCAACAACAACAGCAACAACAACAACAACAATAACAACGCTGCAACGGCACGAAAAAAGAGAAAAGAAAAGGAGAAGCCGTTTGGAGAATGGAGATGGGCAATAAAGGCGAACCGTGAGGGCGGGTGGAGAAAGCATGGGGTAGATGCTTGTAATCTCCAGGAGCAGGGCGGCCATGGTTCCGCAAGAGAACCAGAGAACAGGGGCCAAATCGGGCCACGAGTCGCGCTGCTTGCTCAACACGTTGAGGGCATTCTCCCGCTTGTCAATGCTGGTGAGGTCAAGGACAAGTTGGAGCAGAGCGGAGCGGTCGACTTTTTGGTTGGTGGGAGCCGATGTGCCGGGAGGGGCGCCGGGATTGGCATGATGCATGGGCGGGACGGCGCCGGGGTGGTGTTGTTGTAGGTGTTGCACCTGGGACAGAGGCGCTTGGTGTGAAGAGCCCGACATGGGGGAAGCCAGCCCGGGAGGAGGCCGCGACATAATGACAAGCTAATCCGAAAGCACTGGCAGCCTTGAAACTAGCACGCCTTTGGATTGCGGCGCTGCAGCAGGCGCGGTTGCTCTTGGAGCTGCAGGCGGCGACCGAACGAAAGGGGACAGACAAAGAGGCGGAGGAAAATGGGAAGGAGCTCAAAGCTTGAACAAGCCCAAAGCAGTTGATGGTGTCACGAGCTTGCTGAACGATGACTATCCGGCCTTGCATCCGCCTCGCAGGCTGGCCAGAAGCTGACGGACCACGGACAAACAACACTGACTGACTGACTGACTGACTGACTGACAGACAGACCGACAGACAGACCGACAGACAGATGGACAAACAGACAGACAGATGAGTTGTTCCGGACAAGTGACTCGGGTGAATAGCCAAAGCCGTTTGCAGGGATAACTCACACAACGTTCCGAGACTTGACTCTTTGCGGTCCAGTACTGGGCACCACCGTCACAACGCCGTCACAACGCCGGCCGTCACAACCGCTGCAAACGCTCGCAGGATCTTCCACACAACCACACTAGCATTCGTATCCACGCTGACCCATACGCGCATACAGACTCTCTTTCTCTCCTTCGCTTTCAGCTTGTTCAGCTCGGGCTCGGGCTCGGGCTCTGGCTCTGGCTCTGGCTCTGGCTCGAACTCGGGGCGCGCGCTCGGGTCTCTCGTCTTGTTCTCTCACTCTAAATTAGACATCTTTTGTCTCTCTCTCTCTCTCTCTCTCTCTCTCTCTCTCTCAAACTCTCTCTCAAACTCTCTCTCTCCTCTCTCAAACTCTCTCTCTCTCGCTCTCTCTCTCTCTCTCTCTCTCTCTCTCTCTCTCTCTCTCTCTCTGCTTGCCTTTGCTGCTTATGCCCTCTCTCTCGGTTGGTAAAGGGAAAGCCTCTGAGTGTATTCCATTTGGTAGCAGTTCGATCCGGTTTTCACGTGGTAGCACTTGATCTGACATCTCATGGCATTACCACATGTTATTGCTCTCTCTCTCACTCTCTCACTCTCTCTCTTGCCTTGTGCTTTTTTTTGACCCCGTCGAACCCCCCGACGACGGCAGAGAGTCGAGAGAGTCCAGTGCCGTGGGCTGGTTCGCTCTTGGTGTGGGGCGGGTGGTGGTGGTGGTGGTGGTGGTGGCGGTATTGCTTGGGTACTTTGGCTGGTTGAGGGCATCAAGCGTTTAAAAGAGGTGGGAGAAAGCAGAGCCGACCACGGCCGACGGCCCTTTGAGTCGCTCGGTCGTGCAGGTGAAACGCAAGTTGGCTCGCTGACTCGAGGTTGCTTCTTGCAAGGTTGCTTGCTTCAGGGCTCGTACGCGCGAGCGAGTGTGCGCGCTTCGCGTCAGAGGCGTTTTTGGGGGGGTTGGGCCCTCCAACGCAAGTGACCAAGAGGCCACCGGGATTGATCCTTACCTTCCCAAGGGGGACAAGAAGAGCGAGCAAGAAGAGAGCTTCCCTGCTTCTCTTCCTCTCTCTCGCTTTCGTTTTCGCTCTCCCTCCCCCTTTCTGTGTACGCCCGCCCGACTTGGGCACTTGCACCTCGTGTTGTGGTGGGACACACTTCGTGCGCAGGGCTTAGTCGAGATTGGGCGGTGACCACAAGCATGGCGGCCAAAGGTTCCCCTTTGCCCGCTGGCAAGGATGGCAACTTGCGTTGGATGTTTGACAAAGCCCAGCTGGTGGAGCTGTGCCCCACCGTGCAGGATGCCCTTGAAATCCACGAACTGCACCAAGCCAAGTACCGTGCATTTGAGTACATCTCACAGCTCGTGGAAGCGCTCGGTGTCAAGTCGTAAGACATGGCCTTTGTCCCGCCCCGCCCGCCTTGCCCAGAGTCACAGCCACACTGTAGAAGGAAAGGATCACACGCCTCAAACTGAGGGACTTTCCGTCTCCTCCGTGGCAGCCTCACCTCTCGCTAACCGCCCAGAAAAAATGATATCATCAAAACCACCATGACCTACATTCACCGTTTTTACGTCTACCAATCGCTCAAGGATTTCGATTGGATGGTGCGTGGGGGTCATTTTTGCGCCCTGCCGCGTGGTTTTTGGTCATTGCATGCCCACCAATCGCCCAGCACTCAGCAATGAACCAACGTTCCCGCTTTCCTTTTCCTGCCCTTCCCATTCCCTTTCAATCTGCGCGACGCCCGCCTTCCGACCGGACGGGGTGGCCCTCCCCGTATGCTGTCCCTGGTTGGGAACGCTCGCCTCGAACGTCAATAGCGACTCTCGCGTTCTGCCCTTTTCCTCGCCCTCAAGGCAGAGGAAATGTACATTCGCTCCGAAAGCCTTCTCAAGTGGTCTCACTACCTTGAGTTTAAATCGTCAGTTCCCCCATGTTCTGGCCCTATACTTCCCATGTCGGCAGCTCCAGCAAACCTGCCCAACCTCCCTGGTCCAATCTTACCTGATGATCCCTATCCATTGTCGGTCGCTCAGAAAACGCCACCCTCCGGGTGTCAAGCCCAAATACGCCTCTCTCAAGACAGACAGTCAAGTGCGTGCCGTCAACGCGGCCGCTGATGACTGGCAATCAACGTCGCCCCGTGTTTGCTTGCTTGTTCCAGGGCGACGGTTGTTTGTTTGTTTTTTCTCTCTTTCCCCTGTGATTGGGCTCATGCTTACCCTTTTGGTTAATTTAGGAGTATTATATGCGGAAAGAAAGCTTGCACCGTTTTGAGCGCAATCTTCTTTTGACTCTGGGTTTGTTCAACTGTACCTTCAAGCGGATACCATCTTCACCTTGCCATTCCTTTCTGTTTTGACCTTTTCTCCGCCATTATATGGGCCTCTGTTTTCTACATATTCTTTATCCCATCTTCCCGCCTCTTTCACTATCTCTTCCCCTCCATCTACCTTTTCGAAACGTTAGGCTTTGACGTCATTATCTACCCCCTGAACAGACTCATTACTAGCATTTTCAAAGAACTCAAAGATGATATTGAAAGCCGTCAGTTTGTTTTCCCGCCCCGCGCGCCTGTGAATCCCCGTTGTAGCTTTGCCGCAATTATCTCACCATAACCCTGTTCCTTAGCTGAAATTGTCGCCAAAGACTGTGCTCGGGCTGCTTGGCTTTGGGTTGCCTCCTCGTTTGGGCACCATGATTTGTGCTTGATCTACTCCCCCGTGACCCTGTGCATATCTTTCTTTTACGGCGTGTTGAAGCAGTTTAAGGCCAAGGTCTCCAACGCCACATCTTCTTGTTTGCTTTACTGCCTGCCCGTCCTTTTTGCGCAGCCCACTCATGGTTTCCATTGTCCTGTCACCCAGGTGAACCAGCCCGACCAGCGGGCCGGCCCGTGGTGGACCCATTTGAAGGCCTGCAAATCAGCTGATCCCCTGGAAATTCCATCAGAGGCTACTTGTGCCCGTGCGTTTCAACTCGACATGTCGATGGATGCCCTTGCTCCACACACACACACTCACTTACACCCACTCACTCACTCACTCACCTTGTTGATGTTCCCGGCCCCCTTATCCCGATTGTTCCTTTATGATGGGCTACGCTAGGCGTGCTGTACTCGTACTACCGCTATGCTCACCGCACAAAGCAGCCTCGAAGCTGCTATAAGGAACTCAAACCAGAGGAGCGTGAGAAACACATCAAGGATGGCACACGGCCACCAGACGAGCTTCGACCAGCTGACCCAGACACTTACCTCAGCCCAGAGATAGCTCGCCAAGCCAAGCAACCCATGCAACCATCGCGACACATTCTGCAGTCTGCCGGTAGCCCCATGGTAGCGCCATCCCCTTTCTCAAGTGAAGCCTCCCCTGCCAAGCTGTCCAACACACCTTCGACACACCCCAAGAAAGAGACTGCTCTAGAACGAGTCGCAGCAATCAAACGCGAGCGCCAGAAGCAGGCGAGCGCCAATGGCTCTGCTCAAAACACTGGCTCGCACCACCTGCGTGCATCAGTCAGCATTTCGCGCGCCAATGCTGCCCCGCCTCCTGAACCAACAACAGAACAACAGCCGCCGGCCACAGTCTCCACAAAGACCGCAGTCGCGCAACCCCACCTTTCTTCTGCAAGTCTTCCAAACGCCAATCCTGCAGCCCCGCCCACGGCACCAACAGCGTCTCAAAACGTGCCACAGATGGAGCCCAGTGCCACGGCGCCTGGGACGGTACCGCTAGCTCCCTCGGTCGCACCACCAGTGCCTCAAGCCACAGTGCTTTCCACTCCCGCGCCCAGTGCGCCACCAGCCACAGTACCTCCAACTGCTGTGCCAACTGCGTCGCAAGCCACAGCGCCACCCACTGCGCCAGCTGCCCCACAAGGCACTGTACCCTCCACAACTGCGCCAATTCCGCCGCAGGTTACAGCGCCTCCAGCTGCTCCCTCTGCACCTGAGACAGTGCCATCGACTGTCACTGTCGCTGCTTTGGCATCAGCCCGCTCGACTGGTTTGGCAACAGAAGCTTCAAGCTCCCCAAACACCCTGCCCCTCGCACCGATGGCGGAGAATGCGCCGTTACTCAACCCAAATGCTCCACCAGTCATCAACGACCAAGCAGAACCAGCCCAGTCGCTTGTGCAGACACCAAGCACGACCATCGCAACAAATGGCGCTCCTCCCTCCGCGAGCAACACCGTGCCAGAGGCAACCATTGAAGCCACCAAAATTGTGGAGCGGGGGGTGATTGCTTCGAGCGACGGCCTGGCATTTTCCGCCCCGGTTCCCCCGAATGCTGTAGCCGTGGCACCGGCACCAGCAGGTGCTTCTACAACGACGAATGACCTTAGCTTGGCGACAGAAGCGACCGTGGTCGTTACAACCACGCTCGTAGCCATGACCACCACGACCACCGCTGCTGCCACAAGCAATGGAACAGAAGTGCCTAGCGTCTCAAACACACCGTTGGGCGCGGCTTCTGGTATCAACAATGCCCCCGCTCTCACCGCTAACATTGCGCCGCCGTGCGGCACCGCTTCTGTGGGCGTTCACGCCCTGACTCCGACCGACGAGGACTCAACCAACGGTGAGCCACCCACTAAGCGAGCGGCCATTGCCAAGATCTGATTCGGCGAGTTGGAAGTGACTTGATGACCATTCTTTCTTGAATTGGCTTGAGAAAGAAGAGCAGCGATTAGAGCGAGAATGGGGTCCACTTTTGCCAGCTGCTTGGTTGCTGTTGGCATTTGATGAGGTCTGCGTGCAGCCGTTAAAATGGCAGGTGGGCCTTTTTGGGAATAGGGCGCTCGACGTTGCGTTTGTAATTGGCTTGGCACTCCTTTTCTGTATATGATGAGCGATGAAAGAAGAAGCTGGTTGAGATTGTTAAACGTGGTCGTGATTACGGCCCACACACGCACAGCCGCTGCGCGGCACTAGAAAAGCAATTGAAATCAAATCAAAAATCGGCACATACCCGATCGCGGATAAGGGCGGTGAAGGTTGTCACGCTTGAGTGTGACGCCAAAGCCAGGCTTTGTGGGCAGCTCGACAAACCCATCCTTGGGCAGAGGCTCATCCGGGAACAATCCACCAAAGTAGGGGACGATCTGGTCTGATTTTGGGGAGAGGTTGATGTACTCGGCCAGGGGACAATTGGTAAAGGCAAACTGGAAACATCATGACAGGCGGAAACGTGAGCAAAAGGGTGCATCAGTGTTTGTCGAGCTACGATGCGCTGCTGAGAGGTGCGAGGATTGTACCTGCAGATGGTACGAGTAAATGCTGGAGCCATGGGGGATGACGAGGATATCGTAGGCGGATGCCATGGCAACAATGCGCTTGGCCTCGGTCAGACCACCCAGCCAGGTGATATCCGGCTGGAGGATATCAGCAGCGCGACGCTTGATGAGTTCACGATAGCCGTATCGCGTGTACTCGTGCTCGGCCGTTGTCACCATGATGCCAGTGCCCTCAAGGTTGCGCTTGAGCTACACAGACCACCGATTGAGCGTCACAAAGCAGTCATCAGAACAACGGCTACGACGATAGGCAACACTTTTCACGGCGGCGGACCATGCAATGGCCACGCACCTGCTCGTAGCCATCGTAGTCATCAGGCTGCATGCACTCCTCAATCCACTTGAGGTTGTAGGGTTCCAGGGCCTTGCCGAGCTTGGTGGCGTAGGGCACGGTGAGGGACATGTAGCAGTCCAACATCAAAGGGTAATCGGGGCCGACTGCCTCGCGCCAGTTCTTAAAGAACTCGACATTTTTGCGCAGGCCCTCGTCCCCAGCGGACGGTCCATAAGGACAGGGGACCTTGCCTCCGACAAATCTGAGAGAAGCGTGCAAACGGATACCAAGTCAGTGCACGAGCCGATAAAGAATGGTGCTCATCTCACATACGAGACTGTTCGAGAGGTGCAAAAAAGGACGTACCCAAGGCGCTTCGAGGCCACCGGATCTGAAGACGTGCTGGATCGGAACCAAGCAGAAATGGAGCACGCAATGTGAGGGATGTGCGCCCGTGAGAAGATATGTAGTGGCCCCAACAAGTCCGGAGCCAAACTGGTTGGTTGACTGCCAACGAGCTTGGGCGTGCGTCCAAACAGCAGAGCATTGGGCATACCAGTAGACGGGAAGGCGATCCTTTGTTTTGCCACCAATCAGAGCGTAGACGGGCTCGTTGCGAAGCTTGCCCAGGAGATCCCAGATGGCGAGATCAACGGCACTCAGCGCCTGCACTGGCAGACCCTTGCGGCCGTAGTTGACAGTGGCGCTAAATACAACAACAGAAGACACGCGCCACGTAAGAGTGAAGCATGGCAGCGCGACCAATGCATTACCACCATGAAACAACTTTTTTTGCGTAGCACAAGTACAGTGAAACTCCTTACCGGAACATCTGATCCCACATGAGTTCGACATCGCTAGAGCCCCATGATGGCAGCGGGAGCGCGCGATGTGAGATGAATGTCCAGGCTCTGGCATAGGCGCGGGAAGCAGGGGCTGCTCCAGAAGGGAGATGGGAACCTTACCGAGGATCTTGACCTTCGACAAACCGAGAAAGGTGATTCTCAACAATGAAGCAAGCTGGCTCGCCGCCGATGGAGACACCCACACCCACAGTGCCATCATCGGCCTCAACCTCAACCACGATGCTGCCCAAAGCTATGTATAGGGCAGACCCGGCGGGCAACCCAAGCAGGCATTTCAACAATTTAGCCCCGTTCCAAGCACGCATGACCACGAGTCCACCGTACAACACGCGACGGCCAGGAAAATGCAGCAAAAGGCTCACCATTGATGCCCCAGGACTTGCGGCGTGCTGCATACAGGTCATAGCCCGACATGGGATGGGCAATGGGAGTAGGGTTGCCATTGATCCAGTGACCATCATCCACGTCGTGACAATCGGCACCCTGATCCCCCTCCTTCTTGTGTTGCTGCCATCGTTGTGCCCATCGCATCAAGTCAGTTCCAAAAGCCCGCACCACAAATGAAATCAAAGGTCGAGGGAAGCCGATCGGCAGCGGCGGCAGCGATCATGCGTAGCCATCAACGTACCACAAAAGCGCGCACTTCCTTGATCAAGGGAAACACACGAGCCGCCCCATCCTCGGCCTCGGGCTTCTCATCCGTCTTGCTGCGCTTGGCTGCCATCCTGCACCGTTTCCAATGCCCCCGGAGCGACGACTGCCACTGATCTTGAAAAAAACTGCCACAACCACAACAACGATCAGATCAAAATTGCATTCAACGCGGCTGCCGAGACTTTTTGTTGCATATTATCAAGAAGTTGCAGTTTTGTAAACAAGAGGTTAGTTATATTGCGTGTGACTTGGGTTGAGTTTATGCTGCCAAAGACGTAACAAATGCCGTTTATAGCACCTGCCTGGTGTCATGATTCAACTCATCTTTTCTCGTGTGTTGCTTTCTCTCTCTCTTTACTTTTCAGTGGTGTTTGTTCCTTTGGTTCCTTTTGTTCCCTGTTGTTGGTACGTGTGGTAGTTGTGCTTTTCCGTTGTGTCTTTGCTCTGTATTATTTCTCTCTAACCAATTCATCTCTCTCTCTCTCTCCCTCTCCATTTGTCAGAAAATTGTTGTCGAGTCAGCGATTTGATGAAAAACGGTGTCGCGACGTCGGCTCACAGACGCACGGACCAGACTGACACTGACACTGACACTGACGGATACGGGCATATAGCGCGGTGCACACATACACCTCTCTCCTGAGAGAGGGAAACGGAGGGGGGATGGTGCAATATCACGGAGCTTGAACAGCCAAGATCATCCTGGTTGACTTTGAATTCCCGACTCGCAGTGGGCGCTGAACGGACGGCCCGAATTCGAGGATGGACGAGGCGTTTGTGGCGCCGCAACACGTGATCCTTGGCCGTGATCTGACCCTCAATGATGATTCGGCCAGATTTGAGCTGCTGGGCCCGGCTCCAATCCAAGTCATGGCCGCCCAGGCTTGTCGGTAGGTTGTTCTTGGTGTTGGTTTCGACTGGACACCCTGTCCTTTCGAGCTGGAAATGAGTTCATCTCACACAACAGTGCACGCTCATGAATCACGGCCGTGCTTTTAGGCACATTGTGGGCTTTATAAACGCCGGCCTATCAGGCCGTGTACTCTTCGGCATCCGGAATGGGCTAGTCGTGGGAGCACAGGAACAAACCCATGACTTGCGCAAGGTGGGCGTGTTTCGTAGCGCCTTTGATGAGCTCTGCACGCAGCGCTTGAGCACCAAAGGCACCCGCTGTATCAACAGCCACTTGGAGCAGATCCAAATCATTGCCGTCCCTGTTGTCGACGCCACTGATCACAAGTATCGCAACTGCATTCTCGATGTCACCATCACCATCCTGGACCCTGCCACACAAGTTGATCTTCCCATGATCGCCCTCGCCTTGGAAGGAAACGACCTCGTCTATCCCATTCGCACTCAAGCCGGCCGTACCATCGACTGCTCACAGCACCTGATGGACCAAGCCCTTCAATTCATGCGTCAGCATCGTTCTTCTGGCCATGGCCTTGCTCCCCCCCTCGTGGGCCGGTGCCCCCACGTCTTGCACGCTCTCGAGCGCCTCATGGTCACGGCCAGCCTCGTTCACCAGAAGCGTTCCCAAGCGGTTCCTGGGCCATCGGCCTCAACGGAAACCATGCCGACGCTGGGGGTAGAAAGTGCGACCAGCCACGAAACCTCTGCTGGCAAGAAGAAACCCAAGAAGAACAAAAAGGACAAGACAACCACCAAAGCGGAAAGCAAACCAAACGTGACAACAGCAGCTGAACACAGGAAGAGTCATGACAAACTCGCTGATCCTATCTTAAAAAAAGACAAGACGAACTCGCCGGCCAAACACGACGAGCAGATCTCTGAGCAAGCTAAGAAAAAGAAGAAGAAGAAGAAGAAGAAGAAGGATGATCTGAAGGATAACAACAAGGATTCTCAAAAGAATCCAAACCCTCAGGTGGGGAAAGCGGATATCCAAAGCCTCCCCAAAGCTTTCAGTAAAAACACCTCTGGCACACCACAAGCGCAAGGTCCCCAAGTCCAGCTCGCCCCAGTGCCGCCACCTCAAGGCGCGGAAGACGAGGCCAGCAGCGACTCGGATTTTCCCGACATTGAGGAGTTTGTCCAACGCATCAATGGCCGGCCAGGACGAGCCAAGCGCCTCTCTTCAGACTTGCTGCAGAGGAGGAATCAAGGTTGTGCATGAGTGCAGCCCTGTCTTGTTTATGTGTCGCCACACCCTGTTTACATCTCACCCGACTTTGAACTACATTTGGATTAGGGAACAATGAGACCAAGCGCGTCAAGCGAGCAGAACGCGCGTGGGAGCCAGACGGAACATATCCCGCCACCACGACAAAACGGTGCACAGTGGGCACACAGTCCACCCACCTTGCCACAGGAAAACACACCATGGGCGTACAATGGAGCCAGGCAGATGCCACCGCCGCCGCCCAAGCTTGGCAGCCAGGGGAACATGCTCACCCTGAGAATCACCCAGCCAAACGGAATCACCCTCTCGTCGCACAGGGTACACAGACATCGCCTGCGTACGTCTGTCTCTCTTGCATCTTGCATCCGCGTTAAGGGTTTGTCACAAATGTGTCGCCTTAATTCACCAAATGCCATTCCTTGACATTGGACAGGAGTTTGGGAAGCCGAGGTCATGAAGCCAAGGCCGCACTGCACTCGGAGGCTGTCCATTCAAACTTGCCGGAGGGACTCGGAGATGTACCTGCCCTTGTCTCTGTAAGATCTGGGCCTGATTCTCCGTCAACGAATAGCTCCCGAAATGAAGTGCCTAGACAGGTTTCAGACAAATTGGTTCCAGTTGCCATCATCGAGCGCGTGGTGCAAGCGACACTGCCAGTTTTGGTCCAAGCTCTGGTCGGTCAGCATCAAGCTTCAGGCGAAGATGCGGACCCGGATACGCCAGAACGACACCAGCTGCTGCAACTTGTCACTCGGCGCCTTGTGAATGACCTCAACGGTGAATCTGGTGCCAAAGCAATCAGCACAACCCCCGAGTGACGAGTCTTGAAGCCGGTTGGCATCCCCTCGCACGTGAGCTTGGGTGCATGAGAGTAATGCTGGCAGATTAAAATGAGAGAAACAATGTATTGGAAGAAAAGGTCGGTGCGTGCGCGTGTATAAACATACACATTTGTTCGCGTGTTTTGCGAAGCCGATGAGTCGTGGCGGGACCAAAGCATGAAAATCGATGAGTCAATCACGAGAGTTCGAAAACATCGGTCAATTTTTGTTTTTTTTTGTGTGTGTGTGTGTGTTCGCTACTTGATTCTGCTGCAAGTCAAAAGATTTGACAGGCTGCGTCTGGCCCCCACTGTTTGACTACACCTCACTGAGCAGCGGTGCAGCCCATTCCAAGATCAGATTCTTTGCTTCAAGGCTGTTGGAAGCTGGTCCAGACATGAAAAAGGGATCCTCCTGGTGCACAGATCAAACACATGGTCGTGAGAAGCCAAAGCACGAGAGCATCCCAGTCCTTTGCACATACCAATAAGACAGTACTAATCTCGGGCCGCTCCGCAACATTAAAAGTCAGGCTAGGATCCGAACGTTCAGTAGACAGGCATCAGCAAGCATCACGAGGTGATGGCCCCCTGTCCTTGGCGGAGAGCAGATACAATCGGCCCGCACAAACCCACCATCGATTGACAAAATGACAGCAAGCGTCAGAATACGAGCCGGCGGGCATCTCCAAATGTGCAGCTACCATTTCAGGTGACACGATCAGTCAAAAAAAAAAAAAATTGTAAGAGTCCTGATGGGACCATCAGATGTAAGAGAGCTGAGGGGCAAAGTACAGACCGCCAGACTTGATGTTGTTCATGAGCTGGAGAAGCCGAAAATCATCGCGTAGGGGGATGGGGCAGCGCGCAAGCGTTCCCAGTTGCAAACAGGTCACGCCAAGAGCCCAGACATCTGTTCTTGAGTCGTAGTTGGCCACCTGATTGAGAAGCCGTTCCGGCTATCGAGTCGTGTGTACGGATATCCGGAAGAACGGATGAGAAGAAAAGCCATCAGGTTTGAACTCAACAAGACTCAAGTCGCAGAGACTCCACTCGTGCACCGTTTGCTCATAACCTCGAGTGCCAAGGGCCCACAAGACGAACGATGACGCGTGGAGGGCTTGAGTTATGGAGGCAGGCTATTGGGCGTACCGGAAGATAGGCATAGCAGCCCACTTTGGTAGTGGCGCGCAATACTTGCTCTGGTGCCACCCGTTTACAAATGCCAAAATCGCAAAGTTTGACGCTGCCATCGTGCGCCAGCAGGACTGCGGCAATAAACGGCCAGGGCATGAGCAAGTTGAGTAAAGTGAGGGGTTTGACCGCAGAAGGCGGTCAGGTACATCGTAGTGTTGTGGCTTGAGGCCACGAACAACAAGCATGCCTTGCAAAGCGAGACTTGTGCCGAACCGTTGGCAGGTTTGACGTCGCGATGGAAAGTGTTGAGGTTGTCGGCCAAATATACCAGGGCACGGACGACAGAGAGAGCGAAAAGGCGCACCACGCCCTCGGGAGCAGCGGTATCTTGCGGTGTTAAGAGCGCTGCCTGGCCCACCAGTGTGTTCCAATCACAGCGGGCGTGTTCCATGATGATGCGCATGGCATTCTAGCAGGATCAAAGCCAATCGCATCTCAAAGTCGGTAAGCGGGGCGTCTAGGCATGGGAGGGCGCCAGAAAACGTTTACACGGGCCAAGAGTAGAAGAGCTGCGATTGCCACGACATGAAGACCCGTACATCCTGAAAGTCGAAACCATAAAACTTGACAATATGATCATGATTGGCCGTGCGAATGACATCAAGATCATTGAGCAACTGGGATGGCCGGCGGGCATCGTCGTGAATAAGATAGAGCCGCCCTTTTGCGCTGCAGCGTGTTATGACGAGCAGCAAAACGGGCGACGCGATGCAATACGCACATGTTCACGCGATTTGGGCTCGGTGTTCTTCTCAGACACTATCTTAATGGCGCACACGGCACCCGAGGCTCGATGAAGTGCCTAAGGGACAGAGCCGCCGCGTATGACTCTCAAACATTGACGGGAGCCGATGTACTGGCCACAACTCCTACCTTGTAGACAGAGCCGTATTCACCGGATCCACAATGTTCCCAGCAATGCATCGGCTCAAAGGCCTCGGGCGTGCAGGAATAATCCTAACACGGAGTAAGCCCACCATAAGTTGCCAATTTTCCTTCCACCAAAGAACAACGGCAGATGCGAGGTCGGCCAAAACATGGTCATCGGGTATGGCCAGGCATGCTGCGGAGCCGGGAACCCCACCTGCCCCTGGATGGTGCAGACGCCGAGACGACCGCGCTTGGCCAAGAGCTCGTTCAGGGACTGCATGGTACCTTCAGCAGCTTTGGTGGTATCAATGCTAGATGCAGCGCAAGGCCCAGCGATACGTGTGAGCATGACAGTTACCACCACCATCCCTCCTAGTCTTAGACCGCTGCACAAACTCACCGCAAGCTTGCACTCTTCAGGCGACCCTTGAAGGAGCGCGCCATGGTTGACAAACAACTTTGAGAGCTCTTGTCGCTGATCCACACGTACAAAGTGTTGTAGATCAACACTTGAAAATCGTGCGACCCCCACTGCTCGTGCGTCTCCCCCTTCCCTCCCCTCCCTGCCTGCCCTCCCCGCACCACCACGTCCCAACCTCTACCTGCCTTGCCCTGCCTTGCCTGCCTCGCCTCGCCTTGCCTTGCCCTGCCCCCCGGTGCCACTTGCCATCAACCCGCTGTCGGCTCGCGCGATGTCAGATCCCGAAAAATGCGACAACTTTTGTGGGTTTAGTTTCTCTCTCTTTCTGTTGGCCCCTCTCTCTCATGTGCGCTGCTTTCTCTTCATCTCTCTAACTCTCTCTCTCACCGACCAAACTCTCTCTCTCTCTCTCTCTCTCTCTCTCTCTCTCTCTCTCTCTCTCTCTCTCTCTCTCTCTCTCTCTCTCTCTCTCTCTCTCTCTCTCTCTCTCTCTCTCTCTCTCTCTCTTCGAGAGGATTGCATGCATGCAATGGCGGACAAGGGCGCGGGCAAAGGCCACCAGACTCAGGATTTTTTTTTCTCGTTCTTGCTCACTCATGTACGCGCGAACATCGGCCTGTGGTTGTTGACCTGCCCATCTTGTCCATGCCCGCGCCTGCTCTGCCAGTAGTATCAACCGCCAATCCGGCACGACTTGTTGCTGGATTTTGAACCATACCTCGTGAAGGAACCATTCAGCCATCTACGGGGCGAAATGACATTCGCCTCGAGGCGAGCGCTTTGCATTCTCTGGCGAGTCCTTCTTCTCGTGACTTGCCTGGCAGCTTTAGCTGCAGGCTTTTGTCGACAGCACAACGAGCACAGTGCCTGTGCGGCTTCATTCGTCTACATCGCCACCACTCCCACTGAGGAAGCTCTGGTGTGTCTGGTTCCTCCTCGGCTTTGCGCTCATCTTCCAAGCTCCTAGTCCGTGAATACATCATCAGCGCCCAAATAGTCTCCAATCAATTGTGAAGCATACCTGACAACTGTCGAGCTGCCGTGCCGTACACGCGACGTCCTTGTTTGACTACTTGCTCACCCCGCTGTCCTTCTCCGCCCCCACTTGTGCTTGCGCCCCACAGGCCCTTCAGAGTATCCACACGCTCCGCAACAATGGAGAGTGGGATGGCACCGTCGTTCTGGCTTCTTCGTGTCCACAACCCCACTATCTGCCAGATATTGAAGCTCTTCAGCTCTCTCGTGTTGCCATCCCGTCCACGGTCCTCCAGTCAGGCCTGCTCAATTTCCATCAAGGCCGGCTCGCCAGCGTCTTTCGCTTCGTAGACAGTAGCGCTCAAGCGGTATGGCTCCGCCCCCCGGTTGCTCACAAAGCACGACATGCTGCGTCGCCTGTCCTATTCGCTGCCATGATTGATGGTTGAGTCTCCAGTGCCAGGCTCCACCTCACGCCGCCGCTTGCATTTGAACATCATGTGGCTTCTGCTGATCCTTGACACTCTGTGATAGGCCATTTTGGTTAGCATGGGCACCTATTTCAACGCTTCGGTCAAGCCCGTGGTAGAGGCCATTGCCCAATATCTTCCCACCTCCCCAACTGCCGGCCATGGGACCCTATTGGGTTTTCGGGATGCCTATCACCCAAATGAGGTTCGAAATACGTTGGCGCACGCCGTCATCCCCCAAGCGCTGGCACGGTAACGTCTCAAGCAGGCAGGCCGATTGTGTTGGCCATTCTCATTCTGACTCGTGATGCCCTGCATGCAGCTGGACACCACGCTCTTGATAGCCCATCGCCTGTCTAGCCTGCGCTGCTTATTGGCTATGCAACGAAATACACAAACAGCCATGCAAGCCTCCTTGGCTGCGAGCAATATCCAAGATCTCAGCAGCCTCTTTGTTCAACTACCCACAGAGTCCTGCACACTCCTCTCGCTACCTCAAGCTCTGTTTGACCGCCGCTCGGGCGAGAGTCCATTTCCATCAAAGGCCACGACAGTAGTTCATACCCTCCTGGCTGCCCATGCCCATGCCAACACGCAACATCAACTGACTCCCCTCCGCCCAGAGCGACATGCAAGTCTGCTCAGTGCCTGGGAGGTGCCCTCAACCCTGCACAGGCCAATCAGCAATCTACCCTGCACCGGCAAGCTGCAACTCGTGGAAGATCCTCAAGTAGCTGCTGATAACGCAAACAATTGCCTTCCGCACGGTGTTTTGGCCGGTTTCGCCAAATGCGCCACAAGTACCCTTCAGTACGTGAGCTGGACACCCTTTCGCCCGTTATGGCCCACGACGCTCGCTCATGCTGATATGATGAATTGGGGTGCTTGCTCTCGACTATCACCAACACTATCCACGGCTATTCGATGATTTTAAAACGACAGTTCTTGGCTTCTTCGCCATCCAGAAATTGTGGTCCCAGCCATCAAAGAGCCGAACTATGACTTTAATGCCACGGACCCCAAGGTATTGGCAAAGTACAAGCACATCATTGGCCACAATCACGGCTCTGAGGTAGAGGATGTGCGGTATGTTCCATGTTTGCCCAAGTTTGGTGGCGTGGGGGTGTGGGTTTCCCAAGGCTGGTGCACTAAAAAAAAAAAAAAATGGGTTCAGGCGTGTTGATCAAGCAGTTGAAGCCTGATCCTCTCACTTCAATACACTCGTGGTGACGCTCATCTCCAAACTTAGGCCCTGGTTCACGCTCGATGGCAGCACCCATATCGCCTGGCAGCCCAACGTGCTTGCCAATCTTCATCGACTTTGCCCAAGCACTCGAATTGCCGTTCTAACATGCGATCCATTAAAACGGTTGGATACTGCTCTTGCCCCCGCCGTCTTGCACACATTGCATAATGATGCAATGCTTCACAATAACACTACTCCTGCGCTCACATGGTGACAAATGATTCTTGAGGCACGCACTGCAGGTTGATTTCACATTGGAACTTTCGCCGATTCGTATGGGAATGGGACTTTTTGGAAGGCAAGCGACTTGATGATGTGGTTGAGCGCCAACTGGCCGAACTTCCAGCCTGGGTGCATGACGGAGTATGTAAACTCCCTCTCTCTCTCTCTCTCTCTTTCTCTGTTTCTCTCTTTCTCTCTCTCTCTCTCTCTCGCGCGCGCGCTTGCTCTGTTTTTCTTTCTCTCACTCGTGCTTCTGGCTTAAACCTCTGGTGGGCTGGGAGAAACAGCGATTGGAGGACGTAGGCGAAGAATTAGTGTCCACTCTATCACTGGATGGAGATGATACCCAAGGCGTATGGCAGTTGGTGAACGAAGGCCTCTATGCCGTAGCCATTCACCAAATCCTACGCGTCTTTCCTGCTGAGCAACTTCTAGTCTTGACGAAAGATGAGATGATTGCCCAGCCTTTGCAGGTCAGGAATGCGACGCCATGTCTACCCAAATTTGGTCAAAGTCCACTGAATCAGCTCGAAAGAACGACGACAAATTTTATGTGCAAAACTGCATTCATTGTCTTCATTCGACTTCTCTGCTGGCATGCGATTAGACACTTCGCAAGCTAGAGAAGCATTATGGCCTGCAGCAATGCAACTACCCTGCTGACATGTTCACACAGAAGCGGAATGTGAATACGTATGTATCCCAAGCTTGAGCGAGAAAAAGATTTCACAAGTTTGCAATTTCTCACCATGCTTTGATTTATAGACAAAAGCCAGAGGACTTACGAGCTGATCTTAAAAAGCGCCTTCTGCAGCTCTATCAACCGTACAATATGCGCCTTGCCCAGGACTATGGCCTCATCAACGTGAGCTGGATTCAAGATGCAGTCAACTAACATGTCACCTGTGCAATGCAAAACGTACGAAATTCACATTGGTCAGCCAAGTCATGCTATAAAATGTGATGGTTATAGAAGCCCTTCACCACCACGTTTTTCAAGGCCTCGAGGCACTGATGAACTGTCGTGGTGACGCAAATAGTGAGATGTGTTTTCCTACCACTGATACACAACCTTATGGTATAATACAGTGCCAACTTGTGCGAACAAGTGCTGTGAAACGGCGCTTCAGATCTAATCAATGGACATGTACAAAGCAACAAATGTCATGCCATGCCGATCTGCTGCTTTTGTCGTAGTCCAAAAAGTCACAGCGTTCCCAGCATCGTGAAGCAAACTCAATGTTCGCGTCATCTCTTTCTCCCACGCATTTGGACACTCCACTGCTTCGCACAGATTTCGTGCCACTCACAAGGAGACTTCTGACGAGAAGCCCATATGGGTGATACAACTTCACTCGCTACACACACACATTTAAGCGTATCCTCCGTAGTTGAAGGCACATGTGCCTACCCCACGTGCTTCGTGTACTTCGCAATCTCTGGCCAGACGTAGAAAGAGATTCGGTGGTATTTTGAACCAGCTGCGGCCGGCAACAATTCGCAATGACCAGACGAGGTGGTCGGTTAGATTGGCTGCAGAGTCGCTCGATCCCCAGGATGAGAAAGGTGCAACTCATTCCCAACCACAACAGTCACAACGAGGGACAGTCACGGTAGTCAAAAGCTTCACACAAGATTATTTTGACAAACGTCACTCAAACCTCTTTGAAAACGCTTCCTCAACACCACGCGCTTTCCTTTCAACCCAAAGTTGGCCTCCACATGTCGTGTAGCTTGGCATGATTTTGAAGCTTCACCAAGCTGAAGAGGAGAGGTGCAACTACGACACCGGGGCCGAGGCCCGTGGTGTGTACCAGCCGGGGCTGAATGAGGCCTTTGTTCCTCGGTGGAAGGGTCGCTTTGCGGCGCTGGTCCATCAGATGAACGCTGACCACATCCAGCGCCACTTTGGCGGTGTCTGCCTGCATTCGTCGTAGGTAGGCACCGTCTCGGGGGTCCCTATGTGGGGGCTCCTGTGTGCACCTGTCGCTCCCTTGGTGTTCCTCGTTGTGTCTTTTGATGGCTTGACTTGTATTTTTGTTTTAATTTTGCTTTAACTTTTGCTGTATTTGTGTGGTATTTCTGCTGAATTTTTGTAAGGTCCTTTATATGATGTCTTTGTCTTCTGTGGCCGGTTGCTTTCCTCAATCCGACGTTGTGTCTCGTTGGATGTGAGTGTGCCGTGGTGTTTTTTATGTTCGTGCTGTGATGGCTTGTAGTTGTGATGTGTGACTGCCTTTTTATGTGTCTTGTGTTTAAAATGGCCGTATCTCTGGTTATACTTGGTCGTTTTGTACGATTTTTGTTTCTATGGGCGTGAATCTTTGCGCTTGTACTCCTCGGCATGAAAGAAGCCGATAAAATTGTTTTGTTCTCTTGTGTTGTTTTGCGTGCCGTCGTGATTTTGATGTCGGGGTTGCACAGCTTTGCTTTCAGCTCTGAGGTTCAAACACCTAAATTATTATTATTCAGGCGATGACGATTCGGGCTACCGCCGATCAGACCCGGGATGAGCGGGCCGGCATGGATCAGGCGAGGACAAGCCAAACGTTTGCAAAACAGATCTGGACGAATCAGGCGATGACGATACGGGCAAGCGCCAATCAGACCCGGGATGAGTGGGCCGGGATGGATCAGACCATGACGAGCCAGACGCTTACAAAACAGATCTGGACGAATTAGGCGATGACGATTCGGGCTACCGCCGATCAGACCCGGGATGAGCGGGCCGGCATGGATCAGGCGAGGACAAGCCAAACGTTTGCAAAACAGATCTGGACGAATCAGGCGATGACGATACGGGCAAGCGCCAATCAGATCCGGGATTAGCGGGCTCGGATGGATCAGACCATGAAGAGTCAGACTCTTGCAAATCAGATCTCCGATGAGCAGGCGATGACGATTCAGGCTCCCGCCAATCAGACCCGGGATGAGCGGGCCCGGATGGATCAAACCATGAAGAGTCAGACTCTTGCAAATAAATAAAGTAGGTGTTTGCAAATCAGATCTCCGATGAGCAGGCGATGACGATTCGGGCTACCGCCAATCAGACCCGGGATGAGCGGGCCCGGATGGATCAGACCATGAAGAGTCACACGCTTGCAAATCAGATTCGGACGAATCAGGCGATGACGATTCGTATTAAAGGTGTATGTCCAGTACAGTAGAGACTTTGCAAGCGACCTTCGTTTGTGAATCAAAAAGGCACAAAAACATGTGTAAACTTTTTTCACACTTCCGGTGGCACCCTTTGTAATCAAAGGTTTCTTTACCTAATTTACCGTTACTGAGTCATGCCTCGACCGCGCGAGGCCATCGTCTCGGCGGATCGCCTGTTGCGAGATAGCCGCTTCTCGGCCAGTGCTCGCCGGGCAATCTTTCAAAAAAGGAAGGATTACGCGTCAAAAGTTGCGTTGGCGTTCTTTTTGCAGACGTTGGCCCGCTTGGTGACTGAGCATCGAGCCGGTCTTCTCCCTGACGACTTTAATGCTGACGAAGCTATCCTCTTCCTCTGCCTGGCGGCGACAAACATGGTCAAGAATGCAACTCGTGAATTGGAGCGGCCGCCTGTTGAAATTGCTGAGAATGGAACTCCTCACGTGAACTTGGCTCGTTTTACAGAAACGGCATGGGCACAATGTTTTGGACTCACAAATGTGGCGCAGTTTGAGCGACTAGCAGCCGCGCTGGCCCTCCATATCGACGAGCACCTGCCCGTCCCACTCCGGAAGGCCCTGCTCGCTTTCTTCGCTCTATTCCACCGATCGTCGCGCCTCATCGACGCCATCCACACCTTGGGAGTGTCCTGGACGGTACCCAAAATGTCTCAAGTCATAAATCAGTTTGCGCTGGCCGTGGCGAAAAAGTTTCAGCGCCGGTTGGCCTTTGATGCACGTTTCTTTCAACCGGACTGGACCAGAGCCGCTGTTGCTGCCGTGGCCGCAAAAGGATCTCCATTGCCAGGAATTTGCGCCTTCATTGACGGCACTGGTCAAAATTTGGCGCGCCCTAAAGGAAAAGACAACCAGGCCGCCTTTTACTCTGGTAAAGACTCGGTGAGTTGACTGCCGCCCGCTTTTTTTTTTTTTTTTTTTGTGCTGGGCCTCATGTTACTATACATTTTGTAGAAGCACACCACTCGCTATCAAGGTGTTGTGGCACCGAACGGTGTCCTCGTCAGTTTTGCCGGGCCATGGCGAGGTAGGGAGTGCCCGGCTATTCGGATGCTCACTTGGATGTTGGTTGCCGGGACCTGGCTTACCTCAACGTACTGACTCCACTAGGGCCGAGGCATGATGCTTACATACTGACGATTTTGAGGTCCACGTGCAACGAGCTGGCTTCCAGATGGCCACGGTCAAGGACGCAGCGACCCAGCGACCAGCGGAGATCATTGCCCTCCGCTCCAAGGCGGCACTGGACGACCTGATGGCCAAGTGCGCGCTGGACCTGCAGCAGGCATATCTGGCCTCACGCGAGTGGGGCGTCAGCACAGTCTTGACCATGCGGGGTCGAGACAAGTTGCGTCGCTTGAGCGACACGACCTTTGCCATTGCGGTCGTGTCCATGATGGGTTTTGGCCTCCATGAACTCATCAACATCAAGCCGACGGACAAGTGCCCGCTCTGCAGCAGCAAGACACCTCAGCCGCGACTGACCCGCGAGCACCTGCTGACCTGCCGTCCCATCAAGCGACACAACGCCCTTCGCGACGAGATGGGCCGCCTGCTCAGGTACGCCACCCTCTCCCATGTCTGGGTGGAAAAGTCTGGCTACAACGCCAACGGTCAGAGCTGCCGCATCGACCTGCACTGCCGCAACCCCTTTCCCGGCGGTGCTCTGGGCCCAGCTCTGCCCGACCTGGGCATTGACGTGACTGTGCGCACAGCCCAACCCCCGACCACCTCGCAAGCCTGCATCAAGGTGGGCGCTGCCCTTCGCCGAGCCGAAAAGGAGAAGCGCGACTACTACACCGGTTCAA